CAGACTTTTTTCTCCAGGGGGGGGGGGGGGCACTTGATATTTTCGGGGGGAGGGGCGGTCAACATTTTCCGGGGGGGGGGGTGGCGGACACTAGTAAAAGTATATGTTTATTATGTAAATTCCATCTTGTTCGGGTGTGGGGGGGTGTGGGGGGGGGGGGGGGGGCGGTAGACTTTCTTCGGGAGGGCAGCCCCCTCCTTCCCCCCCCCCCCCCCCCCCCCCCGAAGAGATGCCTGGAAGAAACTCTGCTTTTGTACAGGGAATCGATATTCTAAAAAACCCAATCCATAATAATTTCGTAATAATTTGTATTCAAAACTTTGCTGATAAAATTTAAAGAATATATAATTTTTTTTTTACTTTTTCGAATACGAATTATAGAGAGAGTATTGTAACGTGAAAAAAAATCGAAAGCGAGATTTTACGGCAGCCATGAAGGCTAAATTGACTAAATAATAATTTTCATCAACACGTTGGTCTATTTAGAAACAGAGTTTCTTCCAGGCATCTCTTCCCCCCCCCCCCACCCCCCCCCCACCCCCCAAAATTTTTTTACCGCCCCCGAACAAAATGAAATTTATATAATTTATATAGAAAATATATAATTTTAACAGTGTCCGCCCCCGCCCCCGAAGAAAGTCTACCGCCCCCCCCCCCCCCGAAAATTTCAAGTGCCCCCTCGGAGAAATAAGTCTGGAAGAAACACTGTTTAGAAGTTAGAGTAACATTGACACGGTTTAGGAAGATATGGAGAGGTTAAAACTTAGCAATAACCAAATCAAACGAATTCGTTCAGTAGTCATGTCCACATTTGTATAAGCGTACGTATCTTAAACGTTGACAGCTGAATTAGAGAACACAATCCAAACCATGGAAAAATTGTTGTTATTGAAAGAGCACAAATCAAAGCACGCAGTATGTGACAGGATGCAGTTAGTGATTCCTCAACGTGATGATCTGATGAAAATAGTTTTTAAAAAAAACGAAAATTAAAATTAGTACGGAAATGATACAACACCGTTTCTGGAAGGAACAATACTAGAGCAAATAAAAAAAGAATCAGGTAAACGACAAAAAATGAGAGGACAAAATAAGGATAGGTTTGATGATGGTAGAGGCAGTGGCGTAGCGAGGTCGGGTGTCACCCGGTGCGGCACTTAATGGTGTCACCCCCAGAGGCATAGCGACCCTTCCTGGGGACAAACTTCAAATTTTCGATTTGCACCCCCCCCCCCCCCACAAACTTTCGATTTGCACCCCCCCTCTAACTTTCAATTTGCACCCCCCCTCAAGTTTTTCTCTATATATTTTGCTATTTTTTTGCCTTGGTGTCACCCCCCTAAATGTCACCCCCCCCCCCCCCCCCCCCCCCCGTCGCTACGCCTCTGGGTAGAGGCATTTAGGATGGCGGAAGACGAGCGGAATGGATGAAGGAGATCAAATAATGGCGTCCCAGCTGTCAGCTTAGACTTCTACATGTCTTCGTGAGTATTTAATACTCTTTTAATACTCTTTTAATACTTTTTAAATACTCTTTTAATACTCTTTTAATACTCTTTTAATACTTTTTTAATACTCTTTTAATACTCTTTGAATACTCTTTGAATACTCTTTTAATACTCTTTTAATACTCTTTTAATATTCTTTTAATACTCTTTTAATACTCTTTTAATACTCTTTTAATACTCTTTTAATACTCTTTTAATACTCTTTGAATACTCTTTTAATACTCTTTTAATACTCTTTTAATACTCTTTTAATATTCTTTTAATACTCTTTTAATACTCTTGTAATACTCTTTTAATACTCTTTTAATGCTCTTTTAATACTCTTCTAATACTGATACTAAACATAACACTTTTTTACTCACTTCTACAATGTTTTAACCTGATTCACGGTGAGATATCAATTAAGTATAACGTCTTATAGTCCACTCGGTTTCCTCTTTAACTTCGGTTGTTGCAAAATTACATGTTGGCTAATTGAAGATGAAGAGAGAAACGTGAAACGCTAGTGTTAAAAACGTGTGATAGTGTAGCTAAGTGCTATGTCAAGCGGTATACTGTACTATAAACGGAGAGGTCACCTTAACATATTTCAACATGGACACATCATATGAAATTTTTACCTAAACTGGTTGTATGAAATGTAAACATAGACTGGTTATTGGACCGTCTTTTATAGCCTGGTTACAGTGGGTTGGATAACGGAACTGGTTACATTAATAGACTACCTAGCAGAGGCGTAGCGACCCTTCCCGGCGCCCGGGGACACATTTTTCGATTTGCACCCCCCCTCGAGATTTCGATTTGCACCCCCCCCCCCCCCTCAAACTTTCAATTTGCACCCCCCCTCGAGATTTTAATTTGCACCCCCCCCCCCTCAAACTTTCAATTTCCACCCCCCTCAATCTTTCAATTTATTTTTCCAACCCATTTTGGCGCCCCCTAAGCTCGGCGCCCGGGGACATATGTCCCCCCCGCCCCCCCCCCCCCTCGCTACGCTACTGCTACCTAGACAGTTTACATGGACTCGTTATAAAGCCTTGTTGACATTATTGGTTGCATGAGCTGGTTAGATAAACATTAGTCTAACGCTAGCCCTAGATAGATTACATGTATTAGGTACTTGGCTTTGCTACACTGACTGGCTACAATCATCAACAACGCACAGCTATGAGAACGACGGGACAACTTTTAAAGCGCTAATTACAATGACTGGTTATTTTGGTTACTTTTTAAAAAAAAATGTTTTCACAACACACAAATAAAGAAAAGAAAGAATGAAAAGAAAAGACTAAATACAGACCGTCCCTACCTTTGACTGAAATAACTACACCCCAGTAGCGTAGCGAGGGGGGGGGCGGGGCATATGTCCCCGGGCGCCGACCTTAGGGGGGGCGCCAAAATGGGTTGGAAAAATAAATTGAAAGTTTGAGGGGGGGGGGGGTGCAAATCGAAATCTTGAGGGGGGGGGGGTGCAAATCGAAAGTTTGAAGGGGGTGCAAATCGAAATCCTATGGGGGGGGGGGGTGCAAATCGAAAAGTTTGTCCCCGGGCGCCGGGAAGGGTCGCCTACGCCTCTGCAACACCCTCCAACATCCCCCTTTCCCCTTCATCCACATCCACTACAAAAGGAAGACACTTATAATCAGGTTAACCACCGACTTCCTGTTTACTCGTGTGGTACAAAGATCACGTGCATATCCCCGCCACTTCAGCAGGTTGTCTGCAGTTACATGACTGTCGAGATGTTTCTCTGTGTTTTGTTGTCTGCCACTGTATTCTGGTCCACGGTTCTAGGTAGGTTAGCATCCTTTTAATTAGAATATAATCATTGATGTTAAATTTAATGACATAAGCTTTAGTAATGCAAGATTACACATCAAAAGATTTCTATACAAAAAATTGAACAATGAACTGTAAATAAAAATTGTGACATCATTTATTGTCTTTGAGTAGAGTTCATGTTTTTTAACTTCCGCATATGAAGGAATGGTGTGGTCAGCACTATACCCAGCCGCCTTTACTTTCCCTAACGTGACCCAGGTACCCATCAGAGCTGGGTGGATTCTGGACGCTGTGCAGTTTTGAGTTCGTACCGAGATACGAACTTGAGACACTTGGGCTAGCATTCAAGCGCTCTGCCATCCGACCACGCCGTCCCATCACCTATTATCAATAAGCGACATTACGGTGCCACAGTTTCTCAGGGAGCTAACCTAATACCAATGGCAAGCGAGCGGGACAAAACATTTATCTAGAAATTTCATCTAGATATTAAAAAAAAACTAATAGTTGCACATACAGGGTCTGCACTTGCTTTTTTATGCATGTTAGGGGGTTTTTGGGTACTTTTTGATGACATTTAGCTTTGTGTGGGCGGAGGGGGGGGGGAGCTAATTATGACGCGTAACCAGAGTTTCTTCCAGGCATCTCTTCGGGGGGGGGGCAAAGCCCACCCGAAAAAATTCTACCACCCCCCGAACGAAATGAAATTTATATAATAATTTATATCGAAAATATATACTTTTAACAGTGTCCGCCCCCCCCCCCGAAGAAAGTCTACCGCCCCCCCCCCCCCCGAAAATGTCAAGTGCCCAGCCCCCCCCCCCCCCCCGGAGAAAAAAGTCTGGAAGAAACACTGCGCGTAACAATGATGGAAAGATGGTAAAATCTACTAAAATTCCTTAGCGTCATAATGACTCATATTTGGGTGATGGTGTAACACAAAAATAACATTGCTGTCTAGAGTATATAAGCACTGGTAAATTAATACTACTTTAAATACGTGTTTCGTGTTCATAGGGACGAGTACAGAAGAGAAACAAAGACTTTGTCAAAATGAATTCATGCCAAAAATCATCGGGGCGCAATCAACAAGTGAACAATGCAACTTCGGGGCTGAACTGCTGAAATGTATATTGCGAATATCAGACCGAGTGCCCACACAGGAGGAGCTGGCCCGCATGCAAACCGCAGTCGACGGTATACCGACGTCGAGACAATGCAACCTAAGTGTCGTGGCGATATCCAGGCAAGTTTTCCCAAGCTCTCCCACCGGTAAGTTTAATTTAGATCACATTTTCATCATTTTTCCTTTGTGGCCCACGGAGAGCAAAGGGCTGCAATATCATCTCTCCACCGGACTAGGTTTGAATTTACTCTTCTTATCTACGCCCTCGTTAGCCCAGCGGCGTTTGTCTCTTCTTCTACCATTCTTCCCCATGCTCTCTTTGGCCGTCCTACTTTTCTTTTCCCCAGGCGATTCCAGTCCATAGCTCTCTTTGCGATGTTATCTTCTTCCCTTCTCATAGTCAGTGTTTTTTCCAGACTTTTTTATCCGGGGGAGGGGGGCACTTGAAATTTTCGGGAGGGGGGAGGGGCGAAAAGATACCTGGAAGAAACTCTGCTCATGGTATGTCCAATACATTCCCATTTACGGGCTTTGATGTCCTTATCTATTGGCTGCTGTTTTGTGTTTTGCTACAGGTCTTTATTTGATATTTAGATCTATTTGGTGATTTATTTATTTTTTTATAAATTTGATGTTTATTTTTTAAATTTTGTATTGATTTTGGCCAAAGTAACAAGGGATAGATGAATCAGATTATGTCTGTTTCAATTACCTCGGCGTAAAAAGAGGTAATAGGATAGTACTATATCAAGATGTCTTTGTTTCCCTAACGTGAGGCAGGTACGCATCAGAGCTGAGTGGACTCAGAGAAGCCTACAAACACGTGTCTGGTATCCGAACTCGAGACCTTCGTAAGCTCTACCATCCGACCACAACGTCCTATACTTATTTGATTATTTATTTTTAATTATTAACTGATTAATTTATCTCTGTGATATTAGTCAATATATTGAGTACTAATTTGGTTCATCTTATAGATCTAAATCATTTTAAAAAACTCGCACCTTTTCTGTTTGTATGAACTAAATTTGACAATATAAAAGAAAATCATATTAATATTGGGTATTTTTCACAACGATTTTCACTGTTTAGGGCAATGGTAAAAGGTAGTTAAGTCTGGAGTATAATTAAGAATTGGGTTAGGTTTTGGGCGTGGACGATTGGGCGTGATTAAATTAGGCCAAATTTTGACGAGGTACCGTCTCTCTAAAAATATCCCATCTTTAACCTCCCTTGATATCCGCTTATTACAACAATGTTTTAACCTTAAAACATCACTGAACTAATAAAAAATAATCAAAATTCGTTTATTTTGTTTCGGCGCTTGTATTGTTCTTTTGTAAAAAAAAATTTGTAAAGTCACTAAATAAAATTCAGTGAAATACAAAATGCTATTTTAAAGTAGGCCTACTGCGATTGTGGTGTTTTTTTTTTAAATAGCATTTTGACCTTTCAGCGTCAACCACGGAAGATGCCCAGCTAAAATGCTTGCATGGAAATCTCGAAAGAGTTTACACAGCCGGTACCCTGCGAGAGGCTTGCAACTTCAGCAAGGAAATCCTGCGCTGTATCCTACGCACGTACCCAGAGAAACCCGCACCAGCTGAGCTTGGAGAGATGCAAGAAAACATCAACAGCCTCAAACAGATCCCACCGTGTAACTTGAGCACAGTGGCCGTGGCGGATGAAGTCTTCCCCACAGTTGCGATGGGTAATGTGTCTAATACAGGTAATTGTCACTTCTTTACACTTTCAATATTTAATAAACCGGGAGTGATCTCCCCTAAACTATCTCGGATATTTTAATATAAAACTACGAGGGATGGCAACTCAGGACATAGACAATATTTGTAATCCATTTTTAATTACTTAAACTTTTTATAATAGAATGGAATCTCGTAAAAAAAAGAATTGCACACTAAGTGAACGCCTAATAAAATGTGCATAATAGTGCGCAATATTATTAGTACTTTATAAAATTACGTGCGTTTTTTTTTTTGAGAAATCGAAAATAGCATAAATTAGTACTTCCGGTCAACGGAAATTATTCAAAATTTTGACAGAAGGTAGAGAATTAGATCTTTTACTTACATGTGAAATTTCATTTATCTATCTGAAATAGTACTCAAGTTATAGGCTTTTGAAAAATTCAAAGTAGAAAAAGTACCACTTCCGGTTATCGGAAATAGCTCAAAAGTTGATACGGATCTACGATTTTGATAAAATACTTATATATGAAATTTCAGCAACCTAGCTGTAACGGTACTCAAGTAATCGTGTTTACACACACACACACACACACACACATACACACACACACACACACACACACACACACACACACACACACACACACACACACAGACACACAGACATACGGTCAAGATTGCAAAATTATGTTTTTTCCGTATCAGTGAGATGTAAAACGTCGAGTTTTTTTTTTTTGCACGATTACAAGACTTTCTCTACACTTCGTATATACGAGAAAGTAAAAATTGATCAGATTTAACTTGTTTAAGTATATATATATATATATATATATATATATATATATATATATATATATATATATATATATATATATATTTATTTATATATTTACATATTTACATATTTACATATGTACATATTTACATATTTACATATTTACATATTTACATATTTACATATTTACATATTTACATATTTACATATTTACATATTTACATATTTACATATTTACATATTTACATATTTACATATTTACATATTTACATATTTACATATTTACATATTTACATATTTACATATTTACATATTTACATATTTACATATTTACATATTTACATATTTACATATTTACATATTTACATCTTTACATATTTACATATTTACATATTTACATATTTACATATTTACATATAAATACATATGATGCCATTTAGGGACCCCCCAACCACTTCACAATCTATGGTGGAAATACATGCATCCACCAAGTTATCTTGGTTTCTTATCTACTCATCATCTTTGGCTGGAAAATGAAATTAAAAAAACATTTTAAAAAATATGCATTTTGTACCAACCGGTGCGTTTCTATTTTGGGCGCTTACATTCAAACAAAACGTATGAAAATAGATGAATTAGAGTATTTTATGTTACATTGTTACACCCAAGCTTTCCAATTACTGCAAACAGTGGCTTTGCTAGGTTGGGAGTCACCCAGTGCGGCACCTCATGGTATCACCCCCCCACCCCAACCATTTTTTTGTGTAAATTTTGCAGTTGGTGTCAACCGCCCCCCCCCCCCTCACACATTTACCGGTAAAAGCTTGAATACCTATGATGTTTTACAGCAGGTTGTGGCTTTGTTTTCTCTAAAGTTAGCTTTTTATGTCAAGGTTTTACCTTCTTCCCTTTTCGGGATCGTCATTTATTCTTGTAGGTTTGTTTTTTTTGTGTCTCGGTGCCATCCCCTAAATTGTGTCACCAGGTGCGGTCCGCACCTCCCGCCCCCGCTTCGCGACGCCTCTGACTGTGAATAAGTTATAGAACTTCACTGATAACGTAGGCCTCCTTCACATAGCATAATACGTAATTCATCCAGAGGCGTATCGACCCCTCCCGGCGCCCGGGGACAAACTTCCTTCTGGCGCCCCCACCCCATTTATTTTTTTTTAATATTTATAATTCAAAATTGCAGCTAAAATGAGCTTTTATTTTTTTTCCAACCTCTTTTGGCGCCCTTAGGGACATATGTACCCACCCACCCACACCCCCCGGTCGCTACGCCTTTGAATTCACCTATTTAATGTTTCTCCATTCAGGCGAAAACAAACAAGCTCAGTGCAACAACAAATACGTACCTAAGATAGACGCAACCAGCAACCCGGATGAAAAATGCAACTTGACAAAGGAAATGTACAGCTGTATATTACGTAGCTACGAAGTGAAACCGGCAGACGACAGCTTAACTGAGCTTCAAGCACGAGCGGACAGAGAAACTAAACAGTGTGGGATTAACATACAAGAACTGGTGAATAGCGTGTTTAACGCGGCGAATAGCGTCGAAGTCTCAGGTGTCTTCAACATCGCCGTGATCCTTACTCTTGTTATCACATTTAGAATGTTAACACAAAATTAAGCTGATGTTGTAAAAAATGTTAACACAAAGTTAAGCTGCTGTTATAAAAAATGTTAACACAAAGTTAAGCTGCTGTTGTAAAAAAATGTATATGGGAGGGTTGTTCGTTTAAAAAGAAATATTCTTAAATGTCAATTATGATTCAATACTTTATAATTACCAAGGCAATAAAGAATCAAAACGAGTAACCGTTAGTTAGATATATATGTTTTAGTAAAAAAAATATTTTATAATAAGGACACGTTGCTGAGTTTTTAGACATGATTTACGGTTTGATCATCACATGCCTAAGAAGCTGTGTGTATCTTTTTAATAATTTTTTTCATATTTTGTTTGTTTGGTGAGTGAAATTACGTCCTTAATTATATACATTTCATAATATAAAATGAAACCGGGGCTTTTGTTATCTTTGTTTTTGGTTTGCTTATAAAGAGACAATCACCTATTAAGTTTAATTGAGGTTTTTCTCATGATGTGGACATTACACGCCCTCACCTACATTCGTACAACAAAAAAATACTTCATAATGATATTGCATTGCCAGCTAATATTTATCTTGTTTTTTATATTACACAATATTGCTTGTAAATTTGTTTTCGTTTTTTTACATAAAAGATAATATTATTAAACATGATAAATAATTTCTATAAAACATTTGTTATTATGGAGTGACTATTAAGAATAATTGGAATTAGATGTGATTCTCAAGTACAAAACATGGAGGTCGTAGATGGCATAAATAAACAAGCTACACTGTAGCACCAAAATTGACCGAGGAACAAATTTCGTTCATAAAGCAGAAACTAGCAAACCCCAGACGCCAACTATGGACAATTACAAGTACAATAAATTCACGCCGTAGCAGAAAGAGGCTACGTAATGATGAATCTTAGAAAAAAAAAAATATCCATGCTGAAGTCTATCGGGGTGGTCCATAAATGACGTCACACTCATAGGGGGAGGGAGGTCCGTAATTTTGTGACCATGTGTGATGAGGGGGAGCGGGGTTCAGATGGTGTGACGTCACACTTTTGCAGTATAAAAAAAAGCTATGTTAGAAAACGAGTTTTAGCCGTTATTTCGCGTTTTAGAAAACGGTTTTAATAAGTTATAATAGGAATTGATCAAAATACTCTATGTTAACAGAGTTCTGACAAGATTTAGGAGAAAATATCTATGTTTTAAGAAAAATTCAACAGCAATTTTGAGGGAAGGGGGGTTGTAGTCTGAGGTGTGACGTCATTTTAGGGGGGGGGGTCTGGCTTTTTGTGACGACGCGTAAAAATCGTCAAAAAAAGGCGTGACGTCATTTATGGATTACCCCATAAAATAATTGCCACTACCCACATCATTTGAATCGCCAGAGCCCCTGAGAGTAGTAAGCACGACGTCATAGTTCAGCTCTTCCTCCTCTTGTCCTTTAAGAATCATAATTCTAACTTTGTTGTACAAAGTAAGTTTTGATGCAGTGGTTAGAGAGCTAGTTACTTTCAGGGCTTATATATATATATATATATATATATATATATATATATATATATATATATATATATATATATATATATATATATATATATTGACACTGTCAGCATGGTAGTTTAAATCTTATGAGATTTTCTTTCAATAAATTTAAATTATAAGTTAGGTCCATACAAAGAGGCACACACTTTTAGTCTCTTCTTTTCTTACATTCCTATATGTTTTTACCCGTTTCCCACTGTATAGTTTAGGTAGGTCATAATTACAGATTTTCTGATGATAACTACAATAGAAAAACATTTACAAATATTTAAAGAAATAAAAGTTTAAAAAGCAACACTTCATTTCACTACATTAAACCTATTGTTTGAATGATAAGTGCCGACCAGAATATAAAATCAACAGCTTATAATTTTATTTAGTAAAATACTTATCCGGTATTATTAAATTTATTTAATAACTTCAATACGATTTATTTTTAAAAACCTGACATACTTGCGAGAAAACATGATCTAATTAGACTAATTAGAAATTATATACGTCATGTTGAGGTCACAGTGACATTCTATAGGCCAGACAAACAAGAGATATGTCCTATCGAGACGCCAGAAAGTGATATGGGGCGGTAGTTAGACGCGAGACTAGCACAAACATGCATTCATTAAATTACAGAGATCCTCAGTCTACACTTGCACGGTGTGATCGAATGGTAGTGTTGGCCCAGAGGCGTAGCGAGGGGGGGGGGGACATATGTCCCCGGGCGCATACCTTAGGGGGCGCCAAAATGGGTTGGAATAATAAATAGAAAGGTTGAGGGGGGGTGCAAATCGAAAGTTTGAGGAGGGGGGGATGCAAATCGAAAGTTTGTCCCCGGGCGCCGGTAAGGGTCGCTACACCTCTTTGTTGGGCCAATAAATCCCGAATTCTATACCATAGATCGGAGGTCGGCGAGGTCGAGTCGGTAAAGCTCGTGGTTGCTAAACCGAAAAGTCTCGAAGACAGCAACTCTTCTAGGAGAGACAACTCCAAAATCAAACAACTGCTGCCTTGGCAGGCTGAAATCGGAGTCAATGGCCTCAATGGCGCATAACCAGTTGACACGTAATACTTAACTGTGCTGGAGTGAATCACTTCCAACACTAAAATTAAGAACGCAGACGAAGAAGAAGATAACAGAGGCGTAGCGACCCTTCCCGGCGCCCGGGGACAAACTTTTCGATTTTCACCCCCCCCCCCCTCGAGATTTCGATTTTGCACCCCCCCCCCCCCCTCGAGATTTCGATTTGCAACACCCCCCCCCTCGAGATTTCGATTTGCACCCCCTCAAACTTTTGATTTGCACCCTTTCAACCTTTCAATTTATTTTTCCAACCCATTTTGGCGCCCCCTAAGATCGGCGCCTGGGGACATATGTCCCCCCCCCCCGCCCCCCCCCCCCCCTCGCTACGCTACTGGAAGATAAGATAGATAGCTAATGTAAACACCAACACTTTATTCATTCGTGCGTAGAGTGATTGAGGGGTAGAGTTTATGTTTGCTTACTCATAAATCTCGAGTTTGAGTTCTTGCAAATAAAAATTCTTGCAAAATAAAAAAAAAATTAAAGATGGACATAGAACTAGCCATACAAACTTTATGTTTCGATAGATCAATTCCATCGTTGTTTTTTTTTAATTCACACAATATTAACTTGAGGCTAAAGCTGTTGAGTCGTAGAGCTCATGTTTTCTCACTCATAAATCTCGAGTTCGAGTTCTCACAAGACCCTCATTGCAGCCATCATTTTTAGTAAATATATATTTAACAATTTAATGCAATTTACGGATCAAAGGAATGACGAAGAGAGAGAGAGAGAGAGAGAGAGAGTTCTACATTACGATAGTTGGTAAAACAAAATGAATTGGGTCCAGCTTTTTTAAAACTTTAGAACCACCACCAAAAAAGCATGTTACATCACGCATCGCAGACAGCTATATCCACCCCCTAACTTATCGACGCTGAACTATCCAGTTTCTTTATGTTTTTGTCTATTTAACCATCTACAATTAGTAGACGAAGAAGGCAATGACCTGTCTCATAACTATTCTCATGCTGTCAACTGTGTACATGTGACTGACATTATAGGGCTGGTTTTGTGAGGTAAAGAAGATATTTGATTTAAAATTATTTAACTTATTTAAAGGCTATAGACTTTTAATATTCAAGCGGTGCCGAGTTAGATTCTTAATTATTGTTTTAAAAAAAAACCTTGCTCACTATTATTAGATATTATTAGGCCTATTAATTACATTAATCAAAATGTTGGTTACGTTTAAATGTCACAAAAGCATTCTATTTTGTGATTTTTTTTCTAATTATTCAATTATATTATTGCATTCAAATTTCTATTTTTTTGCACTAATTTTGTTGACTGTGTATAAACTTAAAATAGCACAGACTCTATTAAAATTCGCGCGTCTTGTAATTGGAGAACATATATCAAATAGGACTTGATTATATTAAAGAGAGATAATACTAGTGTGTGAGTAAACGGGAGTATACGGGAGTTTTTGCATTAAGTTTTAAGTTGAAAGAACTGTAGCAGAATTACTTGCATTGTATTAGTAGGAGTTTTTTTTTTTTTTTTTTTTTAACCAGCTTCTCGAGAAAAGTAAAAATTTGACATATTAAAGGTATGCCTATGTGTAATAGACATGTATAGCAAATCATCGATGGGGTTTGACGCAATATATTGGATCAGCTGGGGGTAGTGTTTTTTTCAGGCACCTCTTCGGTGTCCCGCAGCACATTTACAACCTAAATGAAAAATAATTAATGTAGCAAATATATACCTCTACCGTGTTCGCCCCCCCCCCCTGAAAATTTAGCCCTTCTCTCGAAAGCTTCAAGTTTCCCCTACCCATTCCTCGGAGAAAAAAGTCTGAAAGAAACACTGGTCACTATGCTTACCAGGACTGGTCAAAGCTTAAATTGGGCGTCTATAAGAGACGTCATACCCTTAGTCGAACGGGTACGGATATGTTTGATGATAGGCGTAGTAAAAGTCGGCAGCAGAGATATGTGAACCAAACTATTGCCTTTTTTTCAAAATGACAAAACTACACTATGTTAATTTTCGATAGAATTATAGTATTGTTTTTAAAAAAAAGGAGGTGTGTATTGAGGCTTTGTGGCGTCCTTTAATATAAGACGTAGACCAGTTATTTTTTTGTTTTGTGTGTGTGTGTGTGTGACGATGTATGAAAGCTATTGATGAATGTAAGGTTGTATGGGTAGTACTTAAAAAAACCCATCGAAATCACTATAATCACCGATTATTAGTTATGCTACGCCGCTGGTGGAGGTGAAATAGGGCGTTACAGTCAGCTTTGTCTATTTTAAATAAGAAACTGAAATGACTCTTACATTTCGAATACTAAAACGATGTGCGTATGTGTTTTTGTGAGTTATAATATGGCCTAATTTAAAATCATTTTAATTATTTAAAATGTATCTATATATAAATCAGGTACTACATATAATGTTACTACATTTAATGTAGGCATATTTTTGTTTAGAAAAAAAGCAATGAACATTATTCATCTTTTCCATGTTTTTTTTGGGATGTTATATTATTCTTGATAGTAATGTTACTGTTTTATTGTAGGTTAAAGCAGAGATAATCAGAGTTTCTTCCAGGCATTTACCGCCCCCCCCCCCCCGAACGAAATGAAATTTATATAATTTATATAGAAAATATATACTTTTAACAGTGTCCGACCTCCCGAAGAAAGTTTACCGCCCCCCCCCCCGAAAATTTCAAGTGCCCCCCCCCCCCCCCCCGGAGAAAAAAGTCTGGAAGAAACACTGAAGATAATGCATCTGAAAATGCAATTCTTGTCTATGCATCTATATCTCTTACTATACATTTTTACGCAATTAAAAACCGGTTTTCTTACAGGAAAAAATAACATTTACGAAAACATTGCTGGTGTTATGAGCTTTACTTGAGGGAGGTAACCTACACTATTAAACAATGGGAGACAACCTCCGTCTCTTGTTTACATTGATACTACTGATATTAATTCCACAAACTTCCATGAATGTGCGACACAAAAGACAAACTGTTAATGATTAGTAAGTATCAGTTGCTGTTTTTATTTATATAGCCCATGTTTTAATATCAGCTTGGGATGCTATCTAATATAGATTTGTCCACGAATGGAGCGTAGTAAGAGTTTTTTTGGAATAGTGGAAAACGAAGTGTTAAAATGGGCACACACATTTAAAAACACGTATGTATTAGCCATATTCAACTAAGAGCCTTCACTTTAATTCACGTAGACCTTTGTGGCACCTGTGGAGCAAAGAACTGAAGCCACACCCTTCCACCGGACTCTCTTTAGCTGAGCCCATGTAAGCCCGGCACCTCTTGTCTCAACTTGTCCTGCATTGCCTCCTCCAGCATTTCTTGCCCGGCCTACTTTCCTCTTTCTCTGGGGATTCCTTTCTAGCGCTTTCCTCGCAAGGTTTTCCTCTCCCCTTCTCATTGTATGCCCAAATGAACCTTGCTGAACTTGTTTTATTTATAAAACTAAATCTCTGGGTAAAGCAATACATACCGCAGCGTCATCACTTACACTATGTCAAGCAACAGCTTGGCGATTGCCAACTCGGCAGTGAGCAGCTGGGTGTTACGATTATCAATGATTATAAAAAAATTCTCGGTCGATTGCCTACTCGGTGTTAAATTATTTTTACACAACAAGTTGCTTTTCATAGTGTTACTATTTGATATGCATTTGTATAATCCACTTCTTGCATTACCAGTCAGGATTGTAAACTAATAGTTTTTTAGCAACTGTCTATAATAAAATTTGAATGAAATAAAAGCTAGAAAACAAAAAGAAGCTTGGAACATAAACCTTGTCAACAAATCTCCACAGCCCCCGTATAGTGACAGAAAATGGCCACCTGTACATCCGCTCTGCCTCCAGTCGCAACATCTCTTTTGTGTCTGGTCAAGGTGGAGGAATTTATTTGGACAATGTGGATTTTAAGGTCACACTAAGTCAGGTGAGGGTCACTGGTCATTGTAAGCTCAAACTAAAAAAAACCGTTTAAAAAAAGTAAAATAAATTCCTTGGGTAGATTTGATGGATTAGATAGATAAATTAGATAATATTATCATAGATAAGGTAGATCTGAAATATCTGATAGATCAGATGTACAAGATAGATAAGATAAATACGTTACGATAGCATTAAGAGTTTAAATGTATTAGATGTATTAGATGATATAGATTATATAGAAAAAAATAGATAAAATAGAAATGACAGAGAAGAAAGATAAAAGCAAGATAAAATAGAGAAAATTGATAAAATAATGGATAAGACGGGGAAGTTAAAGTTTAAAATGGAAAACAGTTGCGCTAAATAAAAGCTAAATTAAACAGATTATATTAATAAAATTGTTTTGATAACAGTTGTTCTTTTTAAGATCGGGTTATAGATGGAAAAAAATATTTAGATACTAGTATATATATATATATATATACATATATATATATATATATATATATATATATATATATATATATATATATATATATATATATATATATATATATATATATATATATATATATATATATATATATATACCTATATTGATTATTATATACACAATTTTTGTACACATATTTGTAGATAGCGGCACACAATGTCACACTGGGGAGTGTACAAACATCTATCGGTAGGGTAAGTCTGACTTAGTTAAATACCAACCAATGTAATGAACACAACCAACCATGCATCTTGGCTTTAGGAATCAAAATGACAATGTCCAGGAGAGATTTCATAAAATCACGCACTTTCTTAAACATGAGTGAAACATTAAGTGATAGTCTGGAGACGAAACTCAAAACGAAGGACGACCAATAATTTGCCTTACAGATTTAAAATAAACGTGACTTTGATAAATATATAACAAGCAACAAAGCTTGTTGGATTGCACACAAACTCATAAAATAATGATTACAGGAACACAGGTTTAAACAGCTGCGTCTTTCAATTTATAGCAAGGGTCTCCAAACTTTTCAACCTGAGGGCCGCATTAACTATCAAATATAAGTTCGGGGGCCAGAGTTTCTTCCAGGCATCTCTTCGGGGAGGTGGAGCCCCCCCCCCCCCCAACGGAATTTAATTTATATAGAAATATATATATATATATATATATATATATATATATATATATATATATATATATATATATATATATATATATATATATATATATATATATATATATATATATATATATATATATATATATATATATATATATATATATATATATATATATATATATATATATATATATATATATATATATATATATATATTCAAATTTCAAGTGCCCCCTACCCGAGAAAAAAGCCTGAAAGAAACATTGTCGGGGACCGACAATAGACTCTAGGTCCAAGTTTGTTCTCAAATTTTTCTTCACGTAGGCCTACTTCATTCTTGATAAAGTTTGTATGTTGTTCCAAAATTTGAAAGGTACTTTGATGATACTTTTAATATTAGGAAAGTCTTCCTTGGGCAAATACTTATAAAACCCACCCGCCCTTATTTGAACTTGTCTTTAAGGAGGTCATTTGCTGGGCAACTGACCACATTAACTTCAATGGTATTTACACCCAATGCTACATTTTCCGGTTGTTTTTTAATTTTTTCTCAGCCACATTCAACAAACATTTTTTTTTCTGTGGACAAAAAGATCTCCGAGGGCCGGATGAGAGGACCTTGCGGGCCGCATCCGGCCGGCGGGCCATAGTTTGGAGACCCCTGATTTATAGCAATGTTTATCGTATCTTCTTAATTAAGATTCATGAAAATTATTTTAAAGAGCAATTGCATACTTATACCGTGTAAAACTTTACAATTCTATTACGACCATATATTTGCATGTTATTTTTTTTTCAGCTGGATAACCAGTTCAACACCAGAGTACCGTCTTTAGAGACACAGCTGTCTACTGTTATTAATTTACCTTCACGGGTCAACCAGCTAAACGCCGACCTGACACAGGTAATGTTATTGTATCTATGTGCAAAGATAATTCCAAGGTTTTACATTCCCGTGAGATAAACTGTGAAAAAGCGTTTATAAATTCGATCAATGTATGTTTTCGTTTTTACTTACAAGTGATAAATTATAACTATTTTAGATGGGATCAAGAATATCAGTTCTAGAAAGCCCCCAAGAACCGGCGTATGTGCAGGAGCTGAGGACTGATCTGCATGCTCTTAGCAGAAGAGTATCTGAACTCGAGAGTTCTGTAAGTTTTTAATCAAAGCTTATGTGCGTTATTTGTGTCTAAAACTTATAACAGGCGACCCATTGCGCAAGTTACAAAAGCTTGTCTTTGATCTGAGTCAACCTTATTTTCTTTATTATTTTTCTTATAGTTTCGTGCTATTTTTCTCTAAACAAATGTCATAGGCGTTAACATTAGTATGTTTTTTTTCTAAGCAGCAAGCTACTTCGATTTTGTTCTGATAGTTTGGAGCAGTGTTTCTTTCATGCATCTTTTTGGACAAAATAGTAAAAAAAATTGAGCTAGAAAATATCTGTTTTAATTAGTGTTAATCTCTCCCTTAGGAAAATAAAAGTGAGTCTTCGCCCCCCCCCCCCCCCACACACACACAAAGAAAATATTGTTTAAAAAACACTGGTTTTTATTCCCAAGTTTAGGTATTTGTATTATAAATTATTCGACTGTCATTTAACTATGATTTTTTTTTAAAATTATCTTTCCACTATACTTAAAAATCTAAAAATGTCAGATCAGCGTTGTAAATCTTAGTTCTGTCGACAATATAAAGTATAAAGATATATTCAATTAAATGTAGGGCCTATTTGCATTATATAGGTCTATATATATATATATATATATATATATATATATATATATATATATATATATATATATATATATATATATATATATATATATATGTGTGTGTGTGTGTGTGTGTGTGTGTGTGTGTGTGTATGTGTGTGTATAACGTGACCGCAACTTCAGCACATACATGTTATTGAAATAGTACTTTTATGTTTTATATTGTCAAGGTATTTAACATATTGTAATTTCACAGGTCCACACAGCCAACGAGGAAATAACTCACAGGGTAAGCGTTTTATTGGTACAGCTTACTGTTAACGATTAAAACATTTAACTATTTTGAACTACTAGCCGTCGGTACCCGTTACACGTAAATTATAAGCCTATATATTTTTAAGTTATACTTGTTTGAGAAAAATATTTTATAAACAGCTATTGGTCAAAACGCAATATGCTTACTTTACGTTGAACGATAATAGTGACAAAGCAAAGAAATATCTAAATAGCTAAAAATCCGACACATTAAAAATAACAAAGACCACCAATACCTATTAGAAAAACCAAATTATGTACATTAGTCAACAAAACACCCTATTAAATAATAGTAGGCTGTGTGACGTCACTTTAGATGCTGTGGTTTTTATGACGTTTTTTTGACAGAGGGAGGGGGGGGGGGGTAAAAATCGTCAAAAAGCGTGACGTCGTTTATGGATGACCCTTTATATAATTGTAGGAAAAAAAGTCACAGGAAAAAAAAACACAAAAAAAAAACACAGAAAAAAAGTCACAGGAAAAAAAGTCACAGGAAAAAAAGTCACAGGAAAAAAAGTCACAAATATATATTTGCATATTTGTTAATACTTTTATGTATTAAATATTTAGAGATTGCAAATTAACTTAGGATTAATTAAATGTAATGTAATGTGTGTAGGCTGTATACGCATAGGAATTTTTATAATTCATCTAAAAATATTTATTATGAAGTATGTAGATTGTAATTATTTTAAACTTAAGATTAGTAGCATTTAATAGAATGCTCCAAAGTCCACGTTTTTCATCGTGTTTTTTTTTTTAAATACCAACATTAAATTACCGTAAAATGGCAAGTTCATCTGACTTGCTGTCCTCAACTCATGGCAACAATAGTTATGTTTAGTTCAACCACCTTTACTGCCCACATTTATCATGCTCATTACATAACAAAACTTAGGATCAAAACAGAAAGCCGACAAGGTTCAGAGGCCGTCATTGACGCATAACGTCAACAACACAAAATATGTTCGGACAATGCCTACTGCGGAGAGGCCGACCAGAGAATAGCCTACGGCAAAATGTGCCTAAATCTCTTTTATAATTCACTTTTCTACCGCGTATTTAACTAAATACGTAACAAAAGTTGAGATTGTTGTGTTAATTATCTTAGAGTATTTTTACTTACAATTGTTATGAATCATAATACTTTTAACGTCTATAAATAATTTATGCTATCAAAAAATACAACCCACAACAATAAATATACAAAATTTTACAATTCTTAACAAATTAATAAAAAGATTTCTAAAAAGATTTTTGTGACTTTTTTTCTGTGACTTTATTTCTGTGACTTTTTTTCCGATAAAATTTTTCCAAGGTGACTTTTTTTCTGTGACTTTTTTTCCTAGCAAAAACTGTGACTTTTTTTCTGTGTTTTTTTTTTCCTGTGACTTTTTTTCCGTTTACCCTTTATATAGGCCAACGATTTCCCTACAGTAAATGTTATTTTTATGCAGACCCTCGCGTAATTTAAGTAATAAATTTACATTGCATGATCTGCAAGCAAGAAATAATAAAGTTGTATAAAGAAAGTTAGATTAATAAATTTGTAAAGCCTCATCTTAAACTGGGAAATGGCTTTTGGTGCCACGAAAAGGCTGTCGCACTCCTTGTAAAGGGGAGAGGGAAGGGTCGAAATTGTGTGACAATATGTGGCGAGGTTGGAGTTGCGAGGCTCAAAAGTTGTGTCGTTAAATTATAAACTATTTTTGGGAAAACAAATATAGCATTTAAATGTGCATTATAAAACCTTTTTTGTTGTTAGTAAATTTTAAAACCATATGTCATCAATATACATAATTGTGAACCAGTTCAGTGAATATTCAGGAAGAAATCGATAACAAAAACATAATGATTGTAATTTGACATAAAAGTTGTTTCAAAATTTGTGTAATTAAATGTAAAAAATAGATTATTTGACCTTTTCACGTTTACTAACTAAAACTAAAGCTACAAATACATATTTAAAGTGGATCCACACGTTATATTTATCAATAAGAGGGTTAACAAAATTAATTATAGTGGCAGTTATAATTATTTATTTTAAGCATGTACTCAAATTATTCTTCTTTAGCATTTCAATATAACAAAATGGAAAGATATGTAAATCGATTTATTTTATCATTAATTATTAACGAATGAAAAATGAAATAGTATCAATACCTATACCCAATACTGTTGTCAATTTTTTAGGTTACAGATTTGGAAAACAGTTTCCGTAATCTTCAACAAGTAAGTATCAGAATTTTTCCTCACCTTTCTAATCACACACACACACACACACACACATATATATATATATATATATATATATATATATATATATATATATATATATATATATATATATATATATATATATATATATATATATATATGTATGTATATATATATATATATATATATAGGGCCTGTATATAGGCCTATATATATACACACAAACACACACAAACATATATAATATATTACTATTTATAAATGCATATATATATATATATATATATATATATATATATATATATATATATATATATATATATATATAGGCGTATATATTATATAATGTAATTATTATATAATATAGGCCTATTTATATAGGCCTATATATAAGTCTATTTTCTTAACGTCGACTGTGTATAGTTCAGAATTGCAGCTCAAAATGAACTTTTAATTTTAAAAAATTACGCTTTTTGCGCCCTAAGTTTCGGGCGCATAAAACAAACGCCCCACCCGCCCTCCTGTTACCTTCGCCTAAGTCAATAGCCTATATTTTTAAAACTTTATTTTCAAGCAACTCAACACAAACTATTGTGCAAGCAATCCTTGTGAGCATGGTGGAACTTGCAGTAATACTTTCAATGGCTTTCAGTGTCGATGTCCTACTAATTGGCAAGTAAGTGTACGTGGGATTATGCGAGTGTGGATGTGCATCTGTAAAACTATACGACTAAATATTTTAACCATTACTGAAACATCAAATAGTGCTTGATATTTTACAGTCCTCGCATATTTGACTTAGGCTACATACCTAGTATTAGTTTTTTTTTTAAATACTGATTGTTGTATGCTAGTATGCTGGATTTTTGTTCGATTTTGATAAGAGTAGTAGCTATTACACGTGGGAACTAAGTGGCTATACGGACAAAATTTAAGAAGAAAAAAACATTGAGGAAAAATTGCCGCAATATTGCGTGAATCAAAGTTAGTTGGGTTTGTTTTCTTTGCTTTTTTTTCAATTTTTCTTCAATGATTAAATCTTGAAACAGTTTTACTTACGAGACACTGAAATTAACACACACATTTCATGTTATTATTTTATACGATTTAAAATGAACTTACCTGAAGACCCCCCCCCCCTTTCCGCCAACCATGAACAAAGCTATCATTTAAACTACCCATCAGTGTGGAACTAAGGGACTAAATAGCCCGCAGAAGTTGTACCTGTGTAATTGCTAAGGGGTTCATCCATAAATGACGTCACGCTTTTTTGGACGATTTTTACCTCCCCCCTCCCCTCCGTCACACGTCGTCACAAAAAGCCAGCCCCCCCCCCCCCTAAAATGACGTCACACCTCAACCTACAACCCCCCTCCCCTCAAAATTGCATTTGAATTTTTTTTAAACATCGATATTTTTCAAAATATTGTCTAAACTATTACAATTTATTAAAACATTTATCTAAAACGCGAAATAACGTCAAAAATTCGTTTTCTAACATTGCTTTTTTCATAATGCAAAAATGTGACGTCGCAACATCTGAATCCCCCCCCCCTCCCCCTCATCACACATCGTCACAAAATTACGGACCCCCCCTCCCCCCTACGAGTGTGACGTCATTTATGGATGACCCCTAATCTTTTTTTTTTTTAATGCAAAAAGAGTTTGGATTTCATTTTCAAGAAAGAATTTTTAACAAAGTCCATTTAGGCATACTAAAAAAATAATTATAAAGATCTAGATTCCTAAATGTACATTAGATCTGTTTAATTGTTTTAGGCATACACATTGTTAAAAATAAGCCCAAATTAGCAGACGACAAATTAATTTTAGTCCGTTTATTTTGAGTGACTTAGGCCATATTCTTAAACTAGTAGGCTATTAATTATTAATCTATATATATAATTCTCTTCTTCGAGCCGTTAGAAAACAAGCTGCAAACGCTCTCCCTACCTCCCCACCCCTACATGGTTTTAGTGAGCTGTGTTCACTCTAAATGTTTACAAGCAGAGCCAACGATTTTAAACGTAGGGGGGGGGGGGAGGAGGGGGGAGGGAAGGAAGGGGGGGGGTTATGGTCCTTAACGAGCTACTTATAGTGTTTTAAAGAAATATTTTCAGTGTCAGTGTTGGTACTGTCGAATTCACAAATTATGAATTATTGAAAATTAGAAACAACTAAATAGCGGCGTATGTTATGCCGCGGGCCGGCTCGTATTAATAATTAGTCTACTACTAGAATCGAGTAACTAGCTCTAGATCGATCTAGATCTAAGTACTAATAGTCTAGATTTAAGACTAGATCTATATTCAATATTCCAGTATTAGCCGCAATGATTACCTGTTGGCCGTTGGCTTTTTTAGCACTTGACTTAAGCTGCTTTTTTTAGCATCACATCAGCTTTTCTTGGACCTTAGTAGATTCTAAATAGTAACTTACTTATAACTTAGTACTTAGTTAATTGTTTACTTAGTTACTAATAATAACCAATAGTAGTATTAGTAATACTTAGACTAATATACTATATACTTAACGAGCCGGCCCGCGGCATAACATACGCCGCTATTTAGTTTTGAAAGTTGTTGTTTTTTCTACTTTTCAGTAATTCATAATTTCATTAATTTGTGAATTCGACAGTACCAACGCTGCCACTGAAAATAATTCTTTAAAACACTATAAATAGCTCGTTAAGGACCATACCCCCCCTCTTCCTCCCCCCCCCCCTCCCCCCCTACGTTTAAAATCATTTCAAACTAAATTATCTGCCCCTAATAGTCGTCACTAAACCCGGCTCTGCTTGTAAACATTTAGAGTGAACACAGCTCACTAAGACCATGTAGGGGTGGGGGTGGTAGGGAGCGCGTTTACAGCTTGTTTTCTAGCGGCTCCCAGAAGAGAATTATATATATAGATACTAGTTAATACTATGATAATAATTTATAATCTAATACTAATAAGTTAATAATTTAATTATTATTAATTAATTAACATTTGGAACCAGCTGGATGACCTGGACTTTGCTGACGACCTGGCCCTCCTTTCTCACACACAACAGCAAATGCAGGATAAAACCAACAGGGTTGCAAATTTTTCTACATGCCTGGGCCTGAACATCCAAAGTCAATGCATCAAACAACAACCCTATAACACTGGCAGAAGAAGCCCTAGAAGAAGTGGATAGATTCACCTACCTTGGAAGTATTGTTGATAAGCAGGGTGGGACAGAAGCAGACATAAAAATAAGGACGGGTAAGGCAAGAGCAGTCTTCAACCAACTAAAAAATGTTTGGGGTTCGGGAGATTTAACCCTTGGAATAAAAATCAGGATCTTCAACACACTAGTAAAACCTGTTTTACTCTATGGAGCCGAGACATGGAGAATAACTGCTATAAATAAGAAGAAAATACAATCATTTATAAACGCATGCCTCAGAAAGATCCTGCGAATTCGCTGGCCTAAAACCATCAGAAATGATGTTCTATGGCAACGGACAAATCAACTGCCAGTTGAAGTAGAGATCCTCCAGAGAAAATGGAAATGGATGGGCCACACACTCAGGAAGCCTGTATCCAGCATAACAAGACAGGCCCTCACCTGGAATCCAAAAGGCAGGAGGAAGAGAGGCAGACCAAGAAAGACCTGGAGACGTGACCTGGAAGAAGACACCAAGAAGATTGGATACACCTGGGGACAGTTGGAGAGACTAGCCCTGGACAGAGACGCCTGGAAAGCTCTTGTCAGCGGCCTATGTCCCAGTAGGGACGACAGGCAAACATGACATGAACATGAATACTTAATATAAATTTAAATAAATATAGGACATCAGAATTCATAAGAATATATTATATTCAATATAACTCAGCTCTGTCTACTATATACTCAGTAGATTCTAAAAGTAAATGGTAATACTACTAACTAAAAGTATCTAAATCTATTATAATGTCTGTAGAACTATATGTCAGTATATAATATTAATATAATATATAATATAGGCTCAGTGGCGTCGCTAGGTCAGGTGTCACCCGGTGCGGTATCATGTGGTGTCTCCCCCACTTTTTTTTTCTCTGTAAATTTTGCAATATTTTTGTCTTGGTGTCACCCCTTAATGTTGTCATCCAGTCAGCAACCCCCCCCCCCCCCCCCACCTCGCCACACCTATGATTAGGCAGGCTATAGATGAGATTTTAGATTTATCTATTATCTATCTATGTTGTCCGTAGTTTCAAGAAGTTTTAACTGTTCACATGATAATTTAGGTGCACTCCCCTCTAAGAGGAAAATATCTGAAAGAAACATTGCTTATGATGGTTTAGTTAAGTTTAGATCTACATTGAGAAACTAGATAAATAAAATGTGGCCTAGATCTACATCTATTTTAATCTAAGCATGGTCTATAAAAGACAAACAGTCAAGTAGCCATCATATCAAATTATTATTATTGTTTTGACATTAGGGGGTCATTCATTTAAGATGTCCACACAGGGGGGGGGGGGGGGATAGGGGTCCACATGTTGAATTTAACATTGAAGTGCTTACATTTTAAAAGAAACACCTAATTTGTATCCTGCATGTAAAAAGTGAAATGAAGACAGTTCTGCTATTTAAAAAAACATTGCAACGTGTGAATAAAGTACTGGATATATAACTACACTGGGTCATCCATATCATGAGCGTCATTATAATTTTTAACGATTTTTACCTCCCCTCCCTCCAAAACGTCTCAACTAAAAACAATGACCCAACACCTAAAATGAAATCACACCTCAGTCCACCACACCTCTCAAAACCGTAATTTAAACAAAACAGCATTTTTTTTTCTAAAATATTTACTGCATTGCATTGATTGATTTTTATTGAAATAAAAAAAATTCCTATGTGAGGCAACTGCTTACAATTCAAGTTCTATTATTGCAAAAGGGTGTCGTCACACTTTCTAAAATTGTCCTCCATATAAAAATTTGACTTTTTTGTGAACGTCATATATGGATGACCCCTTATGTGTACCTTGACTACCAAAAATTAATACAACCTTGCCCTGTTAAGCAACTACTAACTAGTCCTACGAGAACCCTTCTTAGAATCTTCTAGATTCAGCACCTACTAGTTACTAGATCTAGAATCTTCTATAGGCTTCTATAAAATTGCAAGTATTTGTTACTGCATGTCATGTTATATTACATATTTTAAAATTTATTTATTCCTAAGGGTGATAGATGTAATGAAGATGTAAACGAATGTGACATTTATACTGGTACCAATCTAGGATGTCACAATGGTGCAACATGCACTAATACACAAGGATCATACAGGTGTGGTAGGCTTAAATTATTTTTTGTATTCGCCTATTGGTTTTTTTTTATTATATAGAATATATTTGTGCAAATAAAAAAAGTAATATTACCCTTTCAACCCTGGGACAGGTAAAATAGGGTTCACATGCTTCTGTGATCTTGGCATATAAAAGGATAGTGCCATCAACAGTATGACCATTCACATTTACTTTCCCTAACATGAGTCAGGTACCCATTAGAGAGGGTTGGACTCAAGGATGTGATCCAATTGCAAGACTTTCAAATCAGCAATCGTGTGCACTACCATATCACTACACCATTCTTATTATATATGTGTATCTTACTTTAAATTAAAAAATGCAATAAACTAAAATAAAATTTTTTTAAAAATCTCATACATTTTTTAAAATCTCATAAATGTAACTGTTTATTTACTAGTTTAAATACATATTATTACAAAGGTTAAGTAAATTTGCTAGGCTATATTATATTTGTTAATGTGACATTAAAAAATACTCTAAAAAAATGTCTTTGAAAGTAATATATTTTTAAAATTAAATCCCTACAGAGGAAATTTTCTTTTTCTTTTCCTAAAGCTGCCAGTGTCGACCTGGTTGGAGTGGCATTCATTGTAATTCACCAAACAATTCATGTGATGGTGCTTCTCATTGGGAGATGTGTGATCATGGAGTCTGCATAAATGACAACAATCAAAATCCTTCTAGAGTAAGATATTTTTTTATACAATTGTTAAAACCTATCTTTTTTATTGGGCATATTTTTATTCTAACATATTTTACTAGTTATTCAATTACTTGTTTGCTAAATAATTTTATTGTTTATTTATAAAACCATTTTCAATTATTTGGCTTTAATTGAATCCTAGACTCACTATAGATGTTTGTGTGAACCTGGGTGGACATCAGATACAACAGTGTCTCCAGCTTGTAACATTGACATTGATGAATGCCGAACAGGAACACATTGCTCAGTCAATCCTCCAGTTCAATGCATTAATACACCTGGTTCATTTGTGTGTGGGTCATGCCCTACAGGTAAGCGCACTTACAGCTTGGTGTTTTCTATCGTCTCCAAGAAGAGAATTATATATATATAGATTTGTAGGCTTGCAGCTTTTAAAATCAGTCTATCAAATGGTTCTATACAGATTTTTCTTCATCATTTTAAGGCATAGGCTTTATTTGCCAATTTGGATACATTTAGGTTTCTTATGGCCTAAGTAGTATGATAGTGTGGGTTTTTAAAATTTTCTATTGCTCTTCTGTTAGACATCTTTTGCCCATGGTTTGAAGCTTTTTTGATAATTAAGGGCCACTTTCTTAATAGTTTCTGCTGAAATATAAATATAGTCATACACTTTGCAAGTAATATTTTGATTCTGAAATTTTATAAATAGTAGAAAATGCAATGACACTGGCCATATGTATTTATTTTTAAAGTGTTCCAAGTGACCCTGAAGTGACTCTTTGCTTTAATTTTACACAGTTAGGGCAAAACTTAAGGTTAGGGTGATACAAGGGTTTGGTTTTGGGTTTAAGTATTGTAGATAGTGATACTGTGGAAAAAAGGTAAGAAAAAAAAATTAATAACAGATTCAAAGTTTAACATTTTAACTAGCACTGTATCTCTTGTTAGTTGTTACGACTGTGGTGGCATACATGGCAATTACGAATGACAGCCATATTAACCTGTGACCATTGGGGAGACAGTATGACGGGCAGATTGGGCGTAAAACCTAGGAAGTTATCAGTAGGGTCTGACCTTTTAATTAGGTGCGACAGAACTGTGGCGACATCCCAAATTTGGCTAGGCTTGGTGGGGGAAGTCAAAGAAGCTAGGGACAGTCGGAACTCAGACACACACGGAGACACTCACTCGGATAGACATGGGGTGTCTCGGTGAGCTAGTGGAGGAAAGCGATGAGATGTCTGTAGACTTAGAATAGGATAGACTGTTAGGGACAGGTAGGGTAGTCAGACTAAGGACTATAGTTGTTGTAGATAGTTGTGTATTTTCTTACTGTGTTCCATGTGGTGGCGGGTTAACATTAGGTGTTGTATTTTGTGACAATAAATAGATATCACTGAGATTGGTGTTTATTTATTCTTATTTCATTATTCTTGTTTACGATTACCTGACTAATTCGAAAAGATTAGAGAAGGGGGTTGTAACACTGTCTTTAATGTGAACATGCAGGTTACCGCGGCAGTGGGTATTCATGTCATGACATAGATGAATGTCAAGATGGTAATAATGGTGGCTGCTCAAGGAATCCTTATGTAGAATGTATAAATACCATTGGATCAAGTACATGTGGAAGTTGTCCAGCAGGTATTTATTTTATGGTTTTAATTAGTTTGCATCTAAAAATATAATTCATTGTCATTAGGTCGATTCCCTCTATAAAATTGATCTTTCTCTCAAAGCAATGTAGCAATTAATTCAATAATGCAAATAGCATTAGTTTAGAATATTTTTACATGGTATACACATTAAACTAGAGGTTCACACTCTAAATCCTTAAAAAAGGAAAAAAAAAGGCAATTTTTGCATACACTAATTTAACTTACCTGTTGTTCAACAGCATAGCTATGAACATGCTAAGTCCTTAAATGAAATTCAAGTAAACATTGTCATTTTTGCCAAAAATTGCTAACAAAATTAATGTATCATAAAATGTCAGTAAAAAAAACCAATTAGGTTCAATAACTATATTTAAAGAACAAAAAAAAAATTATTCAATCAATTCAAACTTTGAGGAAATTTAATTTTACTCTGCCAGGCTAACTGTGCCTTATAAATTAAAGAAAAACCAGACCATCACTATTTATTTATCATTATAATTTTTTAATATCATTATTATTATTATCATTATACTTGAATTATACAAAGCATCATCACTGTACAAGACTGACAATAAGATATGCTTGTCTGCCACTTTTTGGACTAATATATTATCACTTTGTTTTCAATTTAATGGAAAACAACAATGAAGTTAATTGATCTTCCTAAATCATATGTGTGTTCATGGGTGTAAGATACTTTGTTTTGAAAAAAAAGTCATTTATTTTATTTGTTATAATACTGATGCAACCAAACATATCATACAAAAATGTTGGTAACTTTGTTTTCACAATACTGATTTGAATACAAACTTGTAAACTCAGTGGTATGCACCCCGAAGTATATACTTCTAAATGTATACTAAACACAACATATTTCTCAATTCAAATTATTAAAATTACAACAATACTAACTGTGAGTCATTCCAAAAACCTATAGGTTATCTAGGAAATGGAAAGCTCTGCACTGCTTCTTTTTATTGTTCACACAATAATGGTGGATGCCATCATCTTGCAAATTGTATCGAAGGTAACTCATAAACTAATGTTTTCATTGTAACATTGCTACGGCTTTAAAAATAGTGATAAGTAACTGTCTATTTATTGAGTTAAACTAAACAGTAAAATAATAATAGATACTTAAGTGGACAAAGGTTACACTTTTTAAAACCAATAACTTTTTTTAAAAAAAACAGGAGCTAGTGGGAGAATTTGCATTTGTCAGAATGGATATATTGGCAATGGAGAGGGTCCAAATGGTTGCATCCTACAATCAATATATGGGTCCTGTAACTCAAATCCTTGTGCTAATGGAGGAACATGTACTGTAAGCATCAAATTTATTGTATAGAAATTAATTGCCTTTGAAAATGTTAACATTTCAAAACATAGCTGTGTTTTGTATAATTTTGTAATTGTGTCTAATAAACATAACTAGCCTAGCATTCCAAATGTTATTTTGAAGATCAAAACTATATGTGATTGCCTCTGCTAATACTTAGGAAAATCTTTTATTATTGGATCAGCTTACTTATAAAGTATTAAATACACAGACATCATGCTATTATTTATTACCAAATTTGCATTTTATTGTATAACATCTAGCCTGCAGGAACAGGTGTCTTCACTTGCACTTGTCCCAGTGGTTATACAGGGCCAACCTGTACCAGCACTGCCAATGCTTGTAACAGCAACCCGTGTCAGAATGGAGGCACTTGTGTTTCACAAGGAGCTGGATTTATTTGCAACTGTCCTGAAGGTTTTACTGGATTTAGATGTGAAATACTGGAGCAAGGTTGGACCTGTTCACTTTTCATTTGAAATATAATACAAAAAAAAATATAATAAGGAATCAAATTATGTTAAGAAAAAAGTCTATACAGTTATAATCAAAATACAATTTTTAATGCTGTGTTGAATCTACAAGCGATTTTTTCCCCATAAATTTTAAAATTGTATTAGAAAATATTGACAGTTGCTGCTCAGTAGTATAGGCTTATGTCAAGAATGCAAATTTTTACACAATGCAATAGCTTACAGAGTTACAGTATAAAACATTTTTGTTGTTATGCATTTCTGTTTGAAAATTAATGCAGACTATCAATAGATGTTCTATCTGCCTTCTTAGGTTATTCTGGTAAACACAACAGATATCACAACAAAATGTTACCGTACATCTGAGGTTATTTTTGTCACAGTAAAAAAACTGTTGAGTCATAAATGGCCTTAAATTCTGTCATGTATGAGTATCTCTCAGTACTGATTCCTCCTAATAATCTTCACCCACCTCTTTTTGAAATGTAATATGTAAAATTATAGTAATTTGATTACATATTTAGTATACCCATAAGAGGTAAAGAGCTTTTATGTTGTAAAATAATATTTGGTTGCTATGTTACTTATTTTCCTATACATTTAAAAAAAGGAGGACGAAATTCAAAACCTAAAAGTGCATAGCTTAAAAAAAATTTCAATAAATTAAGAAAAGATAAATACATATACATGCGTATAGGATACACATACACACACACACACACACACACACACACACACACACATACATATATATATATATATATATATATATATATATATATATATATATATATATATATATATATATATATATATATATATATATATATATATATATAGGGCCTATATATATATATATATATAGGGCCTATATATATATATATATATATATATATATATATAGGGCCTATATATCTATCTATCTATATATATATATATATATATATATATATATATATATATATATATATATATATATATATATATATATATATATATATATATATATATATAAGCCTATATTTATAAGCATATATATAGGCCTATATTTATAAGCATATATATATATATATAGGCCTATATATACATATATATATATATATATATATATATATATATATATATATATACATATATATATATATATATATATATATATATATATATATATATATATATATATATATATATATATATATATATATATATATATATATATATATATATATATATATATATATATATATAGGCCTATATACATAAGCATATATATAAGCATATATATATCTATGCATAGATTTTTTTTAGCGGCAACCACTGGTAGTAGCACACTATTAAGTATAAGTTTTATATTTTTAGTATGTGGTGGGAGGTTGCTGCAAGAAAGTGGTTTGTTAAGATATCCTGCAACCAACAGTACTTATCCATCATCTGCAGATTGTAAATGGGTTATTTCAACCACATTTGACAAGGTATGGCTAATGTATTTTGCTAAATAATAGAAAAGTGCTATAATAGAAAAAAATGTGCATTTAATTTTATCTACACATTCTTTCATGTTTTTTACTTTCACACCCACTTAAATTGTCTTTAGTCTCCGTGTATCAGAAGATAATCTCATGAAATCATTTACGTAATGAAGTGATAAACATTACAAATTGCTCATTTATATTTCAGATTGTGCAAGTTACATTTACAGAATTCAGTTTAGCACACAATTGTATACATGACTTTCTACAAATAAATGATGGTCCAACAACTACCTCACCATTTATTGATAGGTACTGTGGCCGTCAGCTGCCTGCATCGATTAACAGTACTCAACATGAAATGTCCATTTGGTTCAAATCTGATTATTCTGTAGAACATGATAGTTTTAGCCTCACCTGGACATCAGCACAGCCTGGTAGGTTGGATAAGAATTTTAAATTGCATGCTAAATATAACCACTTTATGGGTGTCTTTATTTTTTAAAGTTGTACTTTAAATGTACACAAACAATTATTTTTCTTTTTCTTTCAGTCTGTGGGGGAACATTCAGTGGCAGTGATCATGGTGCAGTTAATAGTCCCAATTATCCAAACAACTACCCACCTAACAGAAACTGCAGTTGGATTATATCTGTCCAGCCAGGGTATAAGATATCATTCCATTTTGCTTTATTAGACTTGGAACATCATCCTGATTGTGGACATGACTATCTAGAGGTAAATTATCTGCTAGTGGTAATTACTTCATTTTGTAAGCCAACCCCCATACTCCAAATTATTGATTATTTTACTTGTGTTATGAAGTGACAATGGTCACAAATTAATATTTCTATTTTAGATTGATTCATCAGAACAAATTTATTAATTTGAGCTTTATTTCAAGAATGACAGTATGTGAAACTTTGTTATCATTTTTATTACACTTAAGTATAAATGAAAACAGGATCAAGCACTTTCTGCCTAAATTCAATTAAGATTCAAATTGTTATCGATTTTTCAAATATTTGCATAGGCCATTTTCGCCACATCTTCTTTTCATCATCTTTAATTCATTCAAATTTTAAATTTTGGTGCGATTCATTCAAGATGTGAATTGTCCTTAAATAAATTCCTTATTTACTATTTTACCATTTATCCTTATGAAATAAAAATTGTTCTGAAGATATTAAAATTTTAGATAATTTTATAAATTTAAACATTTTTATATAATAAAACAGAATTTACTTTTTTATTTAAAAAACATTTAAAAACCAAATAAAGCTGTATTGTTTATTTTATCACTGCTTTAGGTGACTATGAACATAATTTCAGACATAATTGATAAGACAGATTATTTAAGTTGGGTTAGTGTTAAAATAGGAATGTTTTATTATTATGGTAGATTTAAGTTAATTTTAAATGGGTATGATACTAAATTTAGATTGAGTTTGGGTAAATGTTCTTGAATTTTCAAATGATTAAAAATAGGTTGTTAAGATGTTTAGGTTAACAAAAAAATTAGGAATGCATTTTTTTGCAACAAATCATTTGGTGTATTTGCAATACATGTTAACTAGGTCAAACAAACTTATAGGGATGAATTTCAAACTAATTTTTGCATTTAGTTTGTTACATTTAAAGTCTGTATAGGTGATAAGTTTAAGATCAAGATTCGGATAGAGCTACTATTATTTTGAACTGGAGTTAGAGTTAAAGGGTTGTCTATAATTGACATCACAGTTTGGGAAGGGATAAGGTTAATTTTATGATGAATGGAAAGGGACTGGGGAATAAGAACGTGTCAAGAAATTGGCATTACAAATTAGTTAATTATTCTTGGTCATATAATACTTATATATAAAAATGTTGTCAACCTAGCTATAGCAGTACTCATGTTATTGTGTACACGTACTTACAGACAGATGGACAAGATTGCAAAACTAAGTTTTTCAGATTCAGGGAGGTGTAAAACTTTGATTTTACAAAAATATAGAAAAATTATTAATAATCTTAAACAAGAAGATCTGTCAAGTGTATCAAATGGAAAAGTTATAATATTGTTGGAGCCTAATAGAAATTAACAAATAAGTATACGATTAAAGGTATAGCACTATAAATCTTCAACTTTTCTTGTTCAAGTTGTATTCCATGTTTGCTTTGACATGGATCACTTTCTGTTAAAAAATTTAGTCATAGTCTCATAGATCTCAGTTTGAAAAATTAGTTGTGTGTTTTTACATTCAAATATGTCTCTTCATTTTATTGCAGTCTTTAAATACATTTTTTGTAATTGATTATTGTTATGTAAAGAGAAAATTTTTCTCTATATATGTAAGCATTTTAAAGTTCTACTCATACGGCACATTTTCTGAACTCTGGTTTTGGACAAATATATAAATAAATAAATATGTATGATTATAAATATTCAAACTAGTAAACATTGATCAATTTTAGTAGTATAATGATTCTAACTGTACAACAGATATATGATGGAGTCACAGTTTCTGCACCAGTTTTACAACGACTGTGTGGGAAGCCAACAAGTTTACCACCTCCCATCCAGACAAGCGGTCCAAATGCTTTTGTTAGATTTCATAGTGATCATATTGTACATGGCCATGGATTTTCCATCACATACTTTTCTTTTATTGGTATGTTTTCATTATTGGTCTTTCTATTATCATCAAGATTTTTCTCAAATGAATTATTTTTTCATATTTTTTGTGTGGTGCTGTTCTGCTTTTTACACCACATTGATATGCATGTCTTTTTTTTTTAAAAATAAGACATGTTTTGTTGATTCATTGTAGCTTACCAATTATTAAGCCCCAAGTACTGTTAGCAGTTTAAAGTAAGATATTTATTTACATATTTAGATACAACCTGTGGTGGAACATTCACTAGTGAAACAGGAGTGATAAGCTCACCTGGTTATCCAAGTCATTACCCCCATGGAAAAATGTGTAGTTGGGTCATCAGACGCCCCACAAGCAGCAGGATTTCATTTACTTTTTTAGCTTTTGACTTGCAGACAACAGCAGGTTGCAGTTCTGATTATCTAATGGTTAGTATCTTTTAATTTTCCAAATAGTCTAGTTTCATTTAGAAACATCATATACAGACCTTTATTTTTTTGTTATTATGGTCACCATAAAGTTGGCATATTCAGCTTACCTAAAAAAAATGTTTTTTTGAATTCCTCTAAAAAGAAAAGAGTTTTTAAACCTCTTTAGAATTAAAGTAACATTAGGCTACTATAGTAAGTAAGTAGTATTAGGCAGATTTTATGGAATAATACATTATAATAATAAGAGTAATATAATCAACTGTTTTGCCATAGCATATTTGAAATGGCTCACTGTTTGTTTATCTTTATGAACTATTATTTATATACACTTTTATCAGCTTAGAGATGGTGAGAATTACATGGGTGATTTAATAGCTGTTTACTGTGGCAGCAATCAGCCTGCTGCTGTTCAAACTAATGGCAATGTGGCTTATGTAGAGTTCAGGTCTGATGAAACAAGTTCTGGTGCTGGCTTTAGAATACAATGGACAACTGGTGAGCTTGTTATTTCAAAATATATTTAAAATTGTAATAAATTTCCACTGTGACATATATGGACCGTTTGACAGGTTATGTATATTCTAAATATTCTGTATTATTTGGCACTAAACATTGTCAATTTTTGTGCTCTGAACAGGTTTTTATGTTTCCTCACGCAGCAACAAAATATTTAATTTAGAATTTTATTAATTGGGCATTTGATTAGAACTAATATCAGATGAAATAACATAAACCACATTTTTCCAACTGTTTTCATTTGTTATTCATTAATCTATCTTTAGAAATGAGACTCAATGCTCATTTATTATAAAATACTGAATAGAAAAAAAAGTGCAAAAAAGCAATAAACACACAACTGTGCAGGTGTTTATAGAAAACAGTGGTGACCTCATCATTGAATGTTAATTTATTTATTACTTTCTTCTTCTTCATTCTTAATTGCAATGTTTAACAGGATTCCCACCAACACAATAAAGAATTATCAACATGTTATGTGCCATATGGTCTGTTAACTCAAATTTCAGCTGGCTTTTCTTTCTAAATATTTTAATTCACAGACCTATTCTTTAAGTAATTTGTTTAAAAAATTTATATCATCTCAAAAATATTTTGTATCTTTTTTTCCCATAGAATGTGGTGGTGTATATACAAATAGTTCAGGCAGTATACAGTCTCCTGGATGGCCTGGAGATTATCATGCTAGTGCTGACTGCTCATTTATTATTCAAGCCTCGGATTTACAAAATGTTTTGCTGACATTTGATTCTTTTGATTTAGAAGATCACTGTGATTATGAGTATTTGGAGGTTAATACATTCAATACGTGTCTGATAAAAAATTAAGCTCTTTAATTGGTTTCCTAATTAAATGCATTATATGTATTGTAGAAGCATGCCTACTTGTTGCAAAAATGAGTTGTGGGTTCTGTTGTTAGTCTCATAGAAAAGGACTTTTCTAACAAAAAGAAAATTATCACGTTTTATTTTCTGTTGTCATTGGTAATATTTTTTTCCTCAAAGAATATTTGCACATGATACATTAAGAAATGTTATGAAATCTATATTTCTTAAGGTAGTAGTAGTAGTTCACTTTTCAAACCTAATGGTCCATGATGCAAGTGAAGTAGAGCTCACCTGTTTCTGTGAACTCAGCATATGAAGGGATAGTGTGGTCAGCACTATGCCCAGCCAGCTTTACTTTAGGGACATTCTACTGACTTGAACCCAGATTTGAGCACATGTTTTACCTGTTAGCAGTCTAGCGCTCTACCGCTAGGCCACGCCATCCCCATTGATTTTAATAGACAAAAATTTAAAGCTAATACAAGCAGGCTTCCCGCTAGCTAGTATAAAATTTTGTTTGTAATTAGAACAAGTTGCTTTTTCACAAAGCATTTAAGCAGCCTTGATTAGATTATACTTTTATAGCCTGAAGCAAAAGCTTCTTAACCAAGCACCATTGTCTTTTAACAACACAGAAAACTGGTGACTAGCTTATCTAATAGTCTAGATTCATTCATATAAACTCATATTATTCCTATAGATAAAAAAAAACAACATATAAGCAGCTTTTCTCTACAAAATATTTCATAAAACAGCCCCATCTTACTAATCAGAAATAATTTTTTACATTACAAAATTTAATCATGGTTTTAGTTTATCCATCTAATATACAAAGTTGTTAAATCTAATAATGAGCAACCCTTAATTAGAACTGTTTTATATTTCTCAACTTTATTTTCACTTTTTCAAAATGTTTTATATTTATCAAATCTAATTTTTACAGATACATGATGGCTCCAGTGAAACTGCACCTCTGCTAGGTAGTAGATATTGTGGACAAAATACACCTGTCAATATTAGATCCACTGGAAATGCTTTGTTTGTTAAATTTGTAATAGATGATAGCGTTCAACATGCTGGTTTTCATGCTACTTACAGTATGGTTGATGATGGGGGAGGTAAACATTCAATTTTTTGTTTGTTTTTACTTACTTTATTGCAAAGTTGATAAATAAAAACAAATAATTTAAAATGCTCAGACTAGCTGTTGAGGGGTGGTGTGGCCTAGCGGTAGAATGCTAGACTGTCAAACTGAATGTCTTGAATTTGGATCCTGAGCTCAAGTCTGTAGGAAGTCCCAAGTCCACCCAGCTCAGATGGGTAATTGACTTATGGTATGGAAACAAAGGTGGGTGGGCAGAGTGTTGACCATACTATCCCCTTATATGCTAAGGTCATTGAAACAGATGCACTCGACTTCATCTGCCCCATGTGCCTTGGGCACACATGGGAAAATATGATGATGAAACTTGCTGTTTAGAAAATTCTCTAAAAAATAAATTATATATCAGCTGAATAAACTATTAAAATGTGCATTTTTGGTGTGTGCATAAACGGTTCCCAGTATAATATGCATTTGGAAAAGTGTGAAACAGAAAACATTAAAATGAAAAATGTGCAAATACAAATTGTACCAATAGTAATACACTTTAATTTTGTCATATTTTGTGGAAATATGCTTTATTATGCCACAATGCACATGACAGTGATAGGCTGGGGGGGGGGGGGTTAGAACATTTATCTAAAAACAGATGCTTTGTTCACTCTGAGTTGGAATATTACCACATTACCAAATTACCATGCCACCAGAATCATAGCTTTTGAAACAGGTAAAACTCTGTGAATATTGTTTTTGCAATTACCAGTACAGAGGTGTGGCTAATATTCAGAATGTTCCACCTGTTAGATATTGTTTTTCTATTAGATTGAAAAGCGTAGTTTTATACCAACTCTGATTTCAAAAACTTTCTTTATGCTGTAATATTTTTGCATTTATGATGACAATATATTTAATTCTGATTGTAGACAATATATTTTTGTAAAAACAAATAGTATTAAGCTACTATATTACATACTGAAGTAATTGTGGATGTTTTGACATTTACAATTAAATTTGTTGACATATACATATGTATATTAAGTGAGCGATTATTTACCCTAGTTTGTTTGTCTTAATTAATATTCCAGGAATCATCATGTCAAATTTTGTTTTTTACAAGGATTACAAAACAGATTGTGTTGGTTCATTTTTTTGGTTGTATTGTGTATAGATCTATATTTTTTTTTTTGTTTAGAGTGATAAATTGTTTTGTTTTGTCTGCCTACATTGTGTGTTCTTATTTCTTCAGAGTACTACTTTCAAATTATTTTACATCATAACAAAGCAATGACATACAGCTAGTATGTGTGTGTGTGTGTACATATATATATATATATATATATATATATATATATATATATATATATATATATATATATATATATATATATATATATATATATATATATATTGATGGAAAAAATTTGAACCCCCCCTATGAGATGATCCTGGCTATGCCACTGGCACTCTTATGTCTATAAATGCACAATTTAAGAAAACAAAAATGCCCTTGCACACTTTTTTGTGTGCAGTTTTCCATTGTGCCTTTGCCCATCTTTCTGGTCACCACATAAATAATAACGTGGAAGGAACCAGTATTTCTCTTATGAAGGAAATGTGCATGGTGGCTAGAAATTTCTGGTCACACAATCCTGTAATCTGCTGTTGTTTGTAAAAAGTTTATTGAAGCTATATGTTTAAAAAATCTTAATATGAAAAGAATTCGAACAAATATTAATGTGATAACAATTTCAATAAGAAATTTTACAAAAAATCATTTTATAAACATAGTCTTGGCATAAAATGTTTGTAGGCTACTTTATTTTTTTCTGTCTATTATTTTCAGCATCCATGGGCTGTGGTGGAACTTTAAATAGAAATTCTGGCATTTTTCGGAGTCCTGGGCAAGCAAACCCTTATCCTCGTGGCATCAACTGCACATGGTACATAATGGTTGACCAGGGGCATGTTGTGAGACTTGAATTTCATACATTTAGTTTTGAGTATGGTTATGACACTTGCCGTGACTACATTGAAATTTATGATAATATCACAGCAACAGGACCATCTCTTGGAAGGTTTTTAAATTTATTTATTGTTTCTGTTAAACTATTTGTTTTTGTGCACTTTGTTATTCTAATTATGTTTTATTACACTATTATTTGTTTTAGGGCTTTCTCACGCAATTTTTGTGCTTAAATAGAAATGTAAAAACTAAGCTTGTATCAAATTATCAAATGCTGGTAATATAATAGTATTTCTGCATTATGGTCAACATAAGAATTTCAATTATATACACTGACCATTAAACAGTAAATCTTTATGAATCAAGGGACATGACCCACTGAATTAAATAAAGAGAATATATGAGCATTTATAAACATCTGCCTCAAAAGATCATACTGGCCCAGTACAGTTAATTGAAGAACTATCACACACTTAGAGTACCAGCATAAAAAGTTTGGTCCTTGCAAAATTTATTTTTTTAAAAATTGGTTCTGTTTGTGGTCCATATTTTAGGTGGAGGACAAGCTACCTCTTTCACTATACATGCAAAAAAAAAGTAAGCAGTGTCACTTTGGCACTCAAGAGGTTTTGTTATATTTTAGATAATCATTTTATACATGGTTTAAAAGTTTTCTTGTTTTAATTCAGATTCTGCCGTGAAAGACCTCCTGTGATTACCTCATCTGACAACTATTTAACTGTTGTGATGATTACAGATTCAAGTGTTGCTTATGATGGTTTCTATGCTTCTTTTGTGGCTTTGAATACTAGTACTTGTAAGTGATTTCATTTTAAATTATGTCAGGTTCTGTTACTTTGCCTTAGAATATATAATTAGCTTTTATTTCTACCAATATGAAAGTCAGGTCAGGGCTAGATTTAACAAAAAAGGTCTCTCTGGAGCACCATGTTGAGCTTTTACTCTTTAGAATTACTGACTATACTTTTAAAATAAATATTGCTGTTGAAAGACAATAAGTTTTTTTATCATTGTTCTTAGTTTGTCAGATTAGTTCTTACAGATAATTAAAAGAAAAAAAAATTGTGTTTGAATTTACTAGACTATGCATGCTGTTACACACCCAATAACATGAAGGTATTAAAAAATATATTTCTACATTAATTTTTATTACAGTTGAGGCAACGTATGTTTAAAATATTTTCAGAATTAATGATAACTGAATGAAAAGAGATAGACTACTCAATATTGTTTTTAAAAAGCAGTATGTTTTAATGTATATAGGTTCTTTTCATTATTGACTGCCATCACAATCACAATTGGAAGTGGAGTTATTTTTGTGCATCTGTTGATATTCACATACCCAGTCAGCACACATATATTGGCCCAATATTGGCTAAACATTGGTTACCAATATTGGCTACATCTTGGTGCAACATTGGCTTAACCTTGGCCAAACATTGGTAGTGAAACTCGGCATGATGTTGGCGCAATGTTGGCACAATATTGGCTATATCCCGGCTACATATTGGCCCAACATTGGCTAGATCTTGGCCAAATATTGGCTATATCTTGGCCCAATATTGGCTATATCCCGGCTACATATTGGCCCAACATTGGCTATATCTTGGCCAAATATTGGCTATATCTTGGCCCAATATTGGCTACATCTTGGCAGAATAATGGCAATATCTTGGCCCAATAATGGCTATATCTTGGCCCAATAATGGCTATATCTTGGCTATACCTTGGCTCATTGTGTATTTTATCCTGGCTACATCTTGGCCCAATATTTGCTATATCTTGGCCCAATAATGGCTATATTTTGGCTGTACCTTGGCTCAACCTTTTTTTATATCCTGGCCTAAAATAGGCTCAAATTATGATTTTTTACATACAAAAAGCTCCATTCTCATATCAGTCATAATATTTACAAAGTTAATTTCAAAATGTGAAAGAAACTTTAATCAAAATGTAATAAAGCAGCAATACATTCACAAAAAACTGTTCATCTATTAAAATATGTATTATACAATTCATTCAAATGTAAGAAAACTATAACTATATTATAAAGTACTGATAGAAAATGAATATGTAAATAGTAGTCTAGTAGCTTTCATGTTGACTTTTAATTTTATACAAACAAATTAAAAACAAATATACAAAAATGTTCATATAATGTAACAGCTGTTAAGTACAGTTTAAATTAAACTAATGTAAAAACTTAATTTACTGTACAAGAATACAGAAGCTGTCGTGTACTATGGTAAGTAAAAATAACATTCAAACAAAATAGGCCTACTTAATTTATACATTTAAATAACAGGGGTAATAGTATTTGTTAAAAAATTTCAGCATTTTCACAGATTTACAATGTAGTAAACACTATCACTAAGGCATTTATGTTATTTTGAATAAACTTGTACTTCTATTAAAAAAATGATTTTTTAAAAATACCATTAATGAAGGTAAGCAATTTTGTTTTACTTGGGATTGGGGGGGGGGGGGGGGGGCTGATGCTTAAAATAATCACTCAGCCTCTTTATGATTATGTAGCTGTTTGTTGGGGCCCTCACTTCTTTTTCTCCCCCCTGCACGGTCACCAGACATGGCAAGCCATTCACTTGTCCCCTTTTCCAGTTCTTTTATAGTAGAATTTTTAAAAGATCTTAGTATAGAATCTGAAAAAAAATAGTAAAACTTATCAGCATCTTGCCTTGTCAATTCTTCTGTCCATATATCTGTCATTTACCTCATCTTTGTCTTTCTGTATAGGCAGACAGCTCTAGATATATACAAATAGGCCTATATAATTTTAAGTTATTGGAAGCAAAGAAGCCATTTTCATTTTACCAAAAATTGTCATCTTGAGGTTCCGGAGGTCATTGAATTTCAGTTTTCCTTTTTTGCCTTCAAATGAGTAAAGAGTCGACAATTGAGGACATATTAATTCTTTTAAAACCCTGAACAGACCATGTCGAGCATTTTTACCTCCATAGTTGCTGAGGTAAAGACTCTGTTGAACAAAAAGTATTCAGTTAATACAAAGTATTGAAAGAAATATAATACACTCTAGTTTCTAATTTAACAGTAATTTTGTTATAACATTGCTTACCATCCTCTTCTGTACTGCAGTGTCATTCAGACAACTATCCAGGCTGACCATTTGCTCCACTGTCTCTAAAGGAAAGGTGTACCCTTCTGGCAAGCTCTGGATAGTTTCTGGCATATCCTCCCCCATACCATTTAACTTAGCCTCAAGCCTATCCACTTTTCTATGCAGGCGCCGGATTTCTTCAAGCAGCTCTGCGTTGTTTTCCATAATCTTTTTAAAAAATGGCATCAGCTGATCTGTACTTTGCTGGGTGACTAGAAAATAAATAGTTTATGTCAAATCTTTACTAAATTTTTTTACAAACAAAAGCAAGAATGCTAACAAAGTAATGATTTATTTTTAAAAAATACAATACACTTACAGCCAGAAAAACTAGGGGACGCTGAAAACTGTGCATATGATACAGGGGGTTTTGGAACAGCTTTGGAAGCTTCAGGTGGTTGTGGCAAATATTTTATGGAAGGTATAGGTGACCTTGACCTCCGCCTCACCCGACTCTGCACTGCTTCTTCCTGGCAGGTGATGATTCTGATGATTCAGAATCATCATTGGGACTCCTAATGCAAAATTTTTATTTTCATTATTTATACAAACATAACAAACTTAAATGAGGCTATATATTTAGATCAAGATCTAAATTAGAGATTGTAATATATACCATCTAATTGTTGGCCGTGACTGCCGATGTGGCTCTGATCCTGAGCTCTCAACATCACTCTTATCTAGAGCCTTTCTCTCGAGTGATTTTATTTTTTCATAGGAAACTGTAATGTGATAAAAATGTCTAAATGTTATAATAAAACATTAAAAAACAATAATATAATTGTATTATAATAAGTATATGTTACTTTTAATATTTAAAATTTTTAATATAAGTAATTGTTGGTAATTTAAAAATATATTAATTCTTACCATTGCTGTGCAGAATTTTCTCATATGTAAAAATCTGCCAGCTCTCACATGGCTGCTTGGCATTGCGCACCCATGCATCTCCAGCAGTTGGTGTGCTTGGCCAGTAACATTGGTTTTTGCCAGGCAGCAGCCACACATCTGGCACCACCATCACCATCCTTACATTGTCCTCAACAGTTTCCAGAAGGTGGTACATTCTTTAACTTTAATACAGACTTAAATACATAAACTATACTAATTGCAACAAATATGAATACACAGTATTTACATAAAAATTAAAGCCTTAAATGGATTAGATAAAACAAATTCTAATATTTTTGTTCTTTGTGATTCAGAGGAAGCAGCACATATCTCTTTTTGTATGGTAAGAGAACACATTTCTGTTCAATTTTTGATACATTGAATGTCTCTAATTTACCTGAAAGATTTGACACCTCAAAAATGCTCAATTTTGAGGACAATAATGGATATTGAAAAAAATCATAACATGTTAGAAATCGCTCAACAACAAGTACTGGTTCAGAAGACAAATCCATAATGAGAATGTTTCTAAGCAAAAAGAAAGTGTCTTCAATTTTAACACAGTTGTCTCCATTATCTATGGAAAAAAAGATACCTTTAAAATTAATTTGAGCAAATTGATCACATCTAACTCCATTTGGCAATGGCCCAAGACAATGTTTTTTTTTTGGAAAAGGATAAGGCTTGTCAGTTACAAAATCTTGAGATGAAAATAATCCTTTATCTGAGACTGCTCTTTCCGATAACCTCTTGACAACTTGTTCTAATGGTGTCTGTGGTTTACGAACAAGTTTCTTCAACATACCCAAAAAATTTTCGAATGGAAAAGCACTGAAAGAATCTAGTGGTCCAAAATTCTTAACATCTGCTGCCAAATGTGTGAGCCCATGCACATTATAAACCAGAAATTCTTTACCATAAAGTTCTTTAGCTTCTTCTACAAACATACACAACAGTTCATGTGCATAATCAACATGACTGTAACATAAAGTAGGACTAGTAAGGCAATAAATACCAACAAAGAATAAAAGGTAATGACTATAATGTACTTTGTCTATATTTCCTTTCAATGCAACTATACCACTGTATAACAAAAACTGCCTAAACTCTGTAGCTTTCCACCTTTCTATATCATGCAGAGAACGGCATTTTCTAGAGAATTCACGTGGAATATATTCTTTGAAGAGTAGTAGACGGTTTGATATCTGCTGGACAGCCTGATTTCCTATTCTAAGGCCTTTTGAAACTGGACTCTTAAGCCAGAGTAAAAGAATTCTTCTTGTAACCCCTAAGCACACTAAATGCATGTAATCTAAAGGAAACTGAGTGACCATGCCAACTGACAAACTAGTCAAGGGAGATAATCCATGAAATTGATGATTTTCATCTTCAATTAAATCGAAAGCTTCATCTGAACGTAATGTTGCATTTATTTCAGGAAAGATGACTTTTTCAGCCCACTCCCCTTTTTGACAACATTTATCACAGCCCCAGTAACCTGAATGCCCTTTTGTTTTCTTAACAAAAGACCGCGCTGGAGCATCACATATAAAACAAGATATACACAGTTTAATAGGAAAAATAGAATCTTCGTTGTCTTCAAATCTGAGTGAAGTGGCACCTTTCTCGAGTACTTGCATTTCATTCACAAAATCCGTTAAATATTCTTCAATGCTAACTGGTTTGCTACCTCCATAATACAAACCAATAAGGAATGGATCAGATTCAAATGGTTTACAAATTCTTCCAAGAATTGGCCAAAATTGACTGCATGAGGATTTAAATAAAGGCAAACCATCAAAATTAATTTGCAAATGGATAACTGGAGTCTCATTTGGATGAGAATGTAGAAATTTAAATAAATGTTTCGATTTTGTTAAGCAATTTTCAATTCCAAAATGGTAGTATGCACCACCTGTAATAGCTTTAACATTTATTTTTCTAGGAGTTTTCAGCAAAGTTCTTGAATCCTTTGGTAATGAAGGGTGGTAGGTGCACAATAAGCACAGTAAGGCACTAAGTGCATCATTTTTTATTTGAAAATCAATAGCCCACTTTCTGACTTCCTCTTGTAAATTATTTTCATAGTTGTCTTCTGGCGATGAGTCTGCATCTGTCTCACAATCTACATCCGACAGAATATCATTTAAATCTGTATAATCATAATTGCTAGTATTATCATACATGTGTTGCTCAGCGCCAGTCTGTTGATGGTGAGCTTCGTTTCTAACTTCTGAATAACATGCTTGGTGACCAGTTACTGTGACTGGTGTTGATGAATAATTTACACTGTCAAACTCATTGAGAATAGGCTTCTGATTACTACTTTTATCAATAGGCCTATCATACTCATAATCATAATTCCTGGGCCTGCCTCTGACAGAAACGTCATGTACTGCCCTTATACAGTCAGCTAAATCATTACTAACCCTTTTTCGGGTAGCTCTCCAAATAGAACTTTTAGATGGTTCTTTCGTTGAAAACATATTTATTATTTAAAACAATCACCTAGACTGTTACTGTAATGCCTAACTATGTAAATAGACTTCCTCTTATTTAATGACAGAAAGTGTTTTCTACACCGCAATATGAATTTATGTACATTATTCTCCTCACTGTTGAAAAAAAAGTCAATAATTGGTGCAATACCTGTTGATGCGACAAGCTCACCTGTTGTCGGATAATCTGTTATCAATAAAAATTGACGATGTTACCTGTTGATTAAGTGGTTTTAAGTCCTTGAAAGGATTATTAACAGAATCCAAACGTCGGTAGATTAAGCGATGATAAAGACGAGGTCTTAGTGCCGCTGGCTTGATACAACAAAGGCTCTGTTGTTGAGGAAAATGGCGAGCGAAGAATGGCAAGCAAAGACCAGCGGGATGCTGGCTTGATAACAATAGAAAGGAATGTGGACATAGAATTTAGGCCGAGATGCGATGGACCAGCGTGACGCTGGACGGGTAGCCACGCACACAATTTTAAAAATATTAAACAAAATGTTTAAAACACGCAACATAGATTGTAGTTAAATCTAATTTTAAACTGAAGTATTATATTTGATTTTTAACGTATTTCATGGAACATATATTAAGTTTAACAAACCTATTTAAATAAAATTGCTGCAGTAAATACATAAATCATTGTAATCTTGGCAAGCCAGGGTAAAAACGGTTAAATATCAAGGTATCAAGGGAAGCTATTCAAAACAAAGGGATGCAAGCACGTACAAATCTTGGCCGTATCCTGGCATAAGCATGGCGGGACCTTGGCCAATTTATCGCCAAGATAGCGATATTGGGCCAACCTTGGAACGACATTGGGTTGATAAATTGTGTTAGCTGGGTATTAGTATCTTTGGATCAGTTTTTGTTAACATATTTATAAAACATCTTACAGTTTGTGGTGGGGCTTTAACAGCAACTTCTGGTGAGATTACTTCACCAAATTTTCCACAAAACTATCCTCATCATAGACAATGTGAGTGGACTATAACAGTTCCAAGAGGACGCCAAATATTTCTAAACTTTACTTCTTTTCATCTGGAGCCATCAGATACTTGCATGTGGGATTTCCTTGAAATAAGGTATGAATCAATTCTCATGATATAAGTGTATTTCTTGCTAGTCTGATCAATCAGGAGTTAAATAATTTAAGTTGAGGTTTTTCAAATTAAAAAGATAAATTTTGTTCAAAATAATTTTCAGAGATGGGGGCTCAGCAAATTCTCCACTAAAGGTTAAGCTATGTGGCTATCAGGAAGCTGTTCCTCCTATACGTTCATATGGCAATCGTTTGTATCTGAAGTTTAAAACAGATGCTACAGTCACGCATCCAGGTTTCCGATTAGAGTATGGTAGCTCTGCTTCAGGTCAGCTTAATTAAAAATATCTCAATTCATAATAATCATTAAGTTTTCTAATATTTGGGTTAGATTTGTTTTCCTAAAAATATTATTACTTAAGTTTTAGATACATTTTTTAGTCTGATGATTTGTTGATTCATATTTAAATACTAAATAATTACATATTAGTGCATAGAATTAGTAATCGTGTATTATAGGCATATAAGAATACTTTTTTAATCATGTTAATCAATTCATACTATTTCATTATTGGAACAGTATGAGTAAACTCACTGCAGATACTGAATTCTTGTTAAAAATAAATTAAAGTATTTTCCATATATTTATGTCAGAACCTTTAAGTTAAAATAAAATTAGCTGTAAAAAGTCATGTAGAGCCTATTAAAATATTTACTGCATAATTATGTGGCAACTTTCTGCTATTGGACTTCTTTCTGAAAAGAATCTAAAAGCATTTCCCTCTATCAGTTTTAGAATCTGCTAGCCTATGGATATGTAATATTTCACCAGTATGTTTTTATGTGCATTTGAAAATAAATAATGTTTGACTTGTTCCACTATCCAAGACATTTTTACTACATGTTTCCACATCCATTCATATTGTCCTTATCCCTTTCTCTTGTTCATGGTGATTGTTGCTGTTAGATGTGTGTTCCAGTAAACAATGTTACGCTGCCTCAATTTTACCAGCTCTGTATTTTGAATATATAATTACTCAAGTCAGCTGTTTTACTGTTAACTGGGAATGGTATTACAAGGATTCATGATGGTTATTAAACATTAAATTAGTGATACATGAGAGATATTTAAACAATTGTTGGGGACTAACACCAGGGCCATTTATAATTGCAATTGTATAGACCCCAATACAAATATTTGCAAAAGATTACTTGGATACAAGCTGTAACTTTGGTCTCAATGTCTGTGGGTGGATTTGTTGTCAAACCTTTTAAATCAGTTGTGACTAATTGCTAATGTAGCAATTTCTTCGAAACTGTTAATAGCAATTTATTTCTGACCACAGTGGAATAATATCTAATTTTTAGTCTAATCAGATATTAAATTACTCATACAGTTTATAAGTACTATATTAAATAAAAATAGATAAGGTGGGGGGGGGGGTGATTTCCCCTAATCTTTCTGATAAATTTTTATATAACAGTAAAGGGAAGACACTTAAGGGCAATCAGGTTATTTGTTTTTTAAAACCTGGAAATAGCATAAAGTACCACTTCCTGATGTAGGAGATCACTCAAAATTTGAGAGTAATCCAAGTTTAAGATCTTTTACTTATATATTAAATTTTGTCTACCTAACAAACAGTGGGATACTCAAGTATCTTGTTCCCATGGAAATAGAAGCACTTCTGGTTACCGACTATCATTTAAAAGTTTACCAAAACCTTAGAATACAATATAATACTTATATTTGAAATTTTGTCCACCTAACTTAAAGTAACTCAAGTTGTAAGCCGTAGAGAATTCACAAGTGGGCTACCTTGTCTTGTTACCAGAAATCATCCAATAGTTGTTAGAAAACAACAAATTTGCTATGATAATTTTTTATGAAATTTCGTCAACGAAACTGAAATAATAGTCAAGTTATTGTGTTTACAGACACACATTCACTAAGATTTTCCAACTTATTAAACATAAAAATATGTCAAAATCTTGATTTAGATTTTTTGCACCATTACTATGCATCCTTTATGCATATAATAAAGTGGGGAGGTGTAAAATGGCAAAAAAAACTATCAAATTCTCATTTACTTTTTATGCAATACTTTCTCTATACTCTGTATATAAGAAAGTTGAAATAGGAGACAATAAGATAAAGTAGAAGTGTAGTTACGCAATCGCTTTGGTAAATTAAGTTCCCTGATGTTTACAAGTCTAACAGACAACCATGGATCTAAATGTCATTTTGATTTATATCTACTGATTCTAATTTAAAGCAAGTCTTTTAATCATGTGGTATGATTTGACTTAATTTAGAACAAATGAAATAGAAATAATTAATATTTGGTACTGTTTGATATTAATACTTAAATGTTGACTCTTTTGTCTAAATTATAAGTACAAAAAGAGTAGGAAAAATAATCATAAAAACGTTTTAGTAACAATCATTGGTCGCAAAGTCTTCTGACAAGATTTCCGGGGTAACAACACATTCTTTACAAGCATTTGTTGAATTTGCAATGTTTGTTTGTTTGTGGGTTTGTGGCTAATCTTATAACTCAATTTTGATCCACTTCTAATGCAGTGAGTTTTTTATCAAACTTTCAAGATATGTTCCCCTTTGATGACAATACAAGTCTATCTATTTTTATAATTTGATTAGATGTTTAATTAGTCATTAAAAATTAATTAAACAGGTTTAAAATGAAGGGGAGATAAAAATAAATTAAATCACTGGAAAGATTACTATAATCAATAACAGAAGGGCAGATAACGAGCTAGCCAATAACCCTAATAGTCTGGTGAGCTGTGGTTAATGAGAATGTTTACAGTCTTAGAGATGGTCAATCTAGTGAATGCTATTAAGGGCAGATAATAAAGTTTTTAAACGATTTGAAACTGAGGTGAGGTAACAAGTTTAAGAAGTTGCTGTCATAAAATACGGTCACGAATGGCTGCATTAACGGGCAGATAATCATCTTTCAGATATTGTGTACTACTGATGGTTTTTTAAAGCAAATGTTTTTAGTTGTGTCGACTTCATAAATTAGGAATCACTAAACAGAGGAAAATAAAACGAATATTTAAAAAAAACTTGATAGCAACAAGCTTTTGAATGCACTGAAAAATAAGAAAATTAAACTAATTTGCTTTCTTCAATAAAAAGCTTTGGTGGCTCATGAGATCTTTTACATATTTTGGCGACAAAAGCTTGTTTTAAAGAAAGTAAATTATTTTTTTTAAATAATTATAGTTAAAAAATGCTGTTTCTTTTCATATTTTTAGCTGTTTGTATCATTATTATATATAATTTTTAGGATGCTATGGTGATTTAAATTCACCAACTGGAAGTATTACTTCCCCTGATTATCCAGACAGTTACCCACATAACACTGATTGTATATGGACCATTACTGTTGCACAAGGAAATTCAATCATAATTACTTTTGCTGAAATTGACTTGGAGAACTATTATTTGTGTCATTATGATTACCTTATGGTATGTTTATGGTATAATAGTACATACTATTATACTTATGTGCAATTAATTAAGACCTTAAATGTTTATATTTATTATATTATCTGTTCCATTTTTATAGTCACTTGTTTATTAAAACTATTTAACATAAACTATTTAAACTTTGCTGCATGCTATATGTTTCCATGCACCTCCTTTGTTCTTCTATGCATATAAAAACAGATTCGTGAAGATGGAGAAACAGGAAAAATGCTTGGTAAATTTTGTGGCCGCACCCTTCCTCACCCCATTTACACTGAGTCTAACAAGCTGTGGATAAAATTTAAGAGTGACCAAGTCATAGAAGGCAGGGGATTCAGTTTACAGTATATTACAAGTGAGTGGATTTTGTTTAAACCAGCCTACATTGGTTGACTTAATGAAACTTAATTTTAAATTCATATTTTTTAAAGAACACTTAGACTTAAACAAATAAAAATCTACATTTGTGAGCCTTTAATTTGATAATGATTTCAATTTTCATAGTTAATGAGTAGCCTATAAATTAATTCTTTAAGAGCTGTAAATGATTAAATTACTACAAAGAAAGACTATTTCATTGTAATACTTTCAATACAATCTAGCTATAGAAAGGCTTTTTATTAGTTTTTTAATACATAAATATTTTTAAATAGACTAGTAATATCGAATAGTAAAAAGAATTGCCCTCCAAATGAATGTCATAATTGAGTGGAAAATAAGTACTTTATGAAGAAACTTTAATAAATTTTTTAAAATGTTAATAAAACATCTAATTAAGACACAATTTATGTCACAGTGCTTTATTGTCAAGTCTTGACCTATGTGAAAAGTTTGAAACAAATCAGTCTGGTAGAAGTGATATTTTTTGAGAAATCAGAAGTACTGTAAAGCACTACTTCCGGTTACCAGAAGTCACTCAAAATTTGACAAAATCAACAGAATAAAATCTTATACCTAATTTGGAAATTTTGTTCATCTAACTGAAACAGTACTTTTGTTATCTGTATTTTAGAAACCTGAAATAGAGTAAGTACCACTTCCAGATATCGAAGGTCACTTAAAATTAAAGAATAGTCCAAGTATAAAATTTAGTCTACCTAACTGAAGCAGTATTCAAAGTAACATGTTCCATAGGAAATTGAGCAATGTACCACTTTCGGCTACTGGAACTTGTATACAAGTTGGAAGGAACCTTTGCACATAATCTAATACTTATATTTGAAATTTTGTCAACCAAACTTTAATAGTACTCAGGTTATCAGCTTTTGAGAGACCAGATGTATAGTATGTATTACTCAAAATTGATAGACAGCTACAAAATTAATACTATATATAAAATCTGGTCAGTATAACTGAAATGGCACACAAGTTATCGTGTTTACAGACACACAAACAGACAGGATGGCAAATTTAAGTTTTTGCAGCTTTGGAAGGTTATATAACATCAAAATTTGTCAAAATCTCAATTTCTTTTGCATGATTACAATGCATCATTTATGTTCAGTATACAATACAATGGGGAGGTGTAAAACTGAAAACTATTAAAATTTCATTTAATTTTTCTGCATGATTATAAAACTCTATATTCAGTTTACGAGAAAGTTAAAAAGTGATGTCTCATGATGTTCATCTTGTTCAAACTCATTACAGTTTCTAGAAATGGCTTCAATGGCATTTGTCACATTCAAGCTATTATCTGTATACATTCTTCTTGTATTAAATAGTTTTTTTTAAAATAGATATTGGTTTGGTAACAATTAACACTAAATTACTTATAAAAGTAGCGATCTTTTAATTAATGGATTAAAGATTACGTAATATATTCAAAGTGTACTTCTTACTTTTTGCTTCAAATAAACCCAGCATATTGGGAAATTAAATTACAACTAGCAAGTGTTTGCCTACAACAAATTGTTGTAATTATATTAGTATTGAAGCAGATTTAGCTAATTAAAACTGATGTTGATATATTCTGAAAGGACACCAAAATACTTTCTGAAAAAATAAAATGAAAATGAGGCTAGACACCAAGGTGATGGTAAAAAAGTAGGTCTAGCAACACCCTAAAGAAATATTTGTAACAAGACAATAGTCTTATTTATAGATAAAAATTTCAATCTTCAAAGTCATTATATTTTGCTTTAATTTATTTACTTTGTATATTTATATATCACATTAGTAATAAGTGTTTTAATAGCCAAGCAGTAAATTTAGTATTTATTTAATGAATTTAATATTGTATTAACTTTATATACTTGAAGTTTAACCTTTACAATTTTGAGTTTATAATTATGTACACATTTTTTATCTTCTAGATTGTAACAAAAACTTTACTGGATTTGGGGGTGCCATTGAAAGTCAAAATTATCCTAATTCATATCTCAACAATTTAAATTGCACATGGTTCATTGAAGTAAATAAAGGGAACAAGATAAATTTGGAGTTTGCTACATTTCTTTTGGAAGACCATGACTATCTTCAGGTTTGTTATAAAATAAAAATAACTATAAATAAAATTTTTTTTCTCTAAGCCCATATTTAATTATATTAAAGGCTCTACATGAGCTTCTGACTGTTAAATAGTGCTGTGTTTGTCCACATTTGGCTTTTGGTTCCGTTATGATTAGTTTTTTCAATATGTGGTGGAAAAAGAGAGGGGTAAATGGCTAAGTCAGCCCTAGAATGAGTACAAAAGTGCGACCTAAGCCAAAGTTTTCATTTTAGAGCATCCATATGGCCTGTTGACTCGGGCTTCAGTCTGATTTTCTTTCTGGATATGCTTCCATCATTTTATATCAACCCAAAACATCTGTAATGCAGCGTTACTTGATTTAGTTGTTTTCTCTACTATAACTACATGGTTTAATATATCCTGAGCTAACTGGCGTAATCTACCCAGAGTTCTAACTCTGAAGTTTAGGTTTTGCTACCTTACACCCTCTCAACCTACAAGGCCAAATACTTAAGCACACAGTGAATATATATTGCAGATGCTCCTGATTCAATTTAGTGAACAACTATAATTTAATCTTATCCATAGTCTATTGCTGGGGGCTCCAAATCATTCTGCCGGGACGCAGGCTGACATTCCTGATTCAATTTAGTCCAAAAATTAACACGTTAGAAATACTCCACTTCAGCAATCAAGTCTAGTTTTTTACTATATGTATGTCTTTTACACACATACCCACAGTGCGCATAGTCCATTTCATATTTATATATTTGCTTACAGTTTAGAAATATATGTAAATAATAAGTAATAGAACATAAATTACAAAAGTTTTAATATAAACTGTATTGTACATTGTAAAATATGATATATCATAATATATATATATTATAACTAGGAAAAACTGATGTTGAAATTCAGAATTTTTAAAGTGGTGTATATATATATATATATATATATATATATATATATATATATATATATATATATATATATATATATATATATATATATATATATATATGTATATATATATATGTATGTGTGACACTTGCAGATTACAGATGTTCAAAACTCTTCTCAAAGTAGGCGCCTTACAGGCAACACTATACCACAGTCCTATAACTCCAGTGGTAATGTTCTGAAGCTAAATTTCATCACTGATTCATCAATTGTCTTTAGTGGATTTAGACTTGAATGGGCGTTCATTGGTAATTATATCAATATTACATTATGCTTTATATTAAGATATTTATTTTACATTAAAACAATAATAGTTTGATTTTCTTCTAGAGCTCATTAATAAATAAAAAATTAATGCAGGGGATAAGTAAAGTAAAAATGCATTATCAGTCCTGATAGACAAGTCTATTCCCAGTAATTCTTACTTTGCCTAATGTGAATCAGGTACCCATTAGAGCTGGGTGGACTCAAGCACAAGATTCCAATTTGTTACTTTCAGGTTTGCAATCCAATAATATGGTTTTATTTCAGTCATGCGAAACATATTTCTATGCAACATAATTCATTATAAACAACAAATTTTTACATTGGAATCAAGAGCTTTCATGCAAGAAAGTTGTAAAATCTCAACATGAGGTAATGGGAGAGGGGGTGCCAAAAGGCTTGTCTGAAGACAATAGGCCCTCGAGCTGTTTTGTTGAATGCCCAAAAATCAATTTTAAAAAAAACACTTCAGTTGATTGCAGAAATTTAAAAAAAAATAGATCTATGTTTACATTGGATGATATGTGTGTGTGTGTGTTTGTGTGTGTCATTGCTAGTAATATTTTGTGATAGGCAGTTACATGAATGTAAAAAAAAACAGCAGTTAATTTTTTTTTTTTTTTAACTATTAGATACTTTCTACAAAAATAAAAAAAAATCTTTGAATGGTTTATATTCTTACAATTTTTTTTCCTTTTACTCATCAATTATCATACATTTATTTAACTGCCTATAAAATAATTTTTGATCTCAGGTTTTATTTAAATTGCAATTATGCAATTTAATTACTAAAACATTTAGGTTAAATAACATGCATTGAATAGAAATGCAATGAATGTGACTATGTGCAATATTAAAAATAGTAGTGAAAACTGCCATAATATTTAAATAATCTCCAAACAACATTGACAATACAAACTATTCTAAAGAAGAAAGAAATATTAAAGATACCATTGTAGTAAACTCCATTCTGGCTATGTGCCATAAGTTCAATAATGTTAAGACTGAAGTGGTATGGTGGAGTGCAGAGATGCCTATGCAAAAGTCAGTTTCTGGATTGTTCTAAAAAGAGTTCACCCAGCTCTGTTGGGGACCTGACTTTAAAAAAATGGTGGTTGATCATAGAACTGACAGTATTCTTTCACATGCTGAGGTAACTGATACAAATGAATAATCTTATTAAACGGCCAATGTGAAAAAAGGCCTTTGTGCCTACAATTGTAACCGTTGTTTGAATAAATTTGAATTTGAATTCTTCTGCTCTATTTACTGCCAGGTCTAAAAACAACTAAAATGTATTATGTTCCTACCAATGTATTTTTTAAAATTCATTCTTGCTGAAAAAATAATTTTCTTCAATTGTTACAATTTTTAAATTTCTAGGCTGTGGAGGAATATTGCAAGATCCTACGGGCAACTTTACCAGTCCAAACTTCCCAAATCCTTATAACAGAAACATTGAATGTGTATGGAGAATTATTGCTAACTTGGATCAGGCAATTGAACTTACATTTCCAACATTTCAACTAGAAGCTCACGGTTTCTGTGAATATGACTATGTGAAGGTATCATTTAAACTGTTTCATACACCTTTGTTGTAATGTTTTTTTTTAATTGATTAGTAATGATATTAACTAAGATAGTAGTATTTATTTTTAAATTGTTTTTTTTTTTTTTTTTTTGTTTTTTGTACAAATTTAGGATTTAAAAAATGAACTACACTATTTACCTATGCTTCTTGGAATATTAAAGTTCTAAACATTATATGTCAGAAATTTTTTAATAAAGGAATTTATGCACAATTTTCAACAAATTTAAAAATTATAAATACATTTGAATATTTTGTACTAAATAGGCATGCAACAATGTACTTAAATACTGTTTCAAATATATATCAAGGGACACTCTTATCATAGAACAGCTCATCTTATTATACTCATATAGATCTACATCCCATCATACTAACATGAACATCTTGTTGAAGGTAAAGTTTCAGTTTGTTTCTCAATACTTTGTGTTAATTATTTTTCAGGTTTTTGAAGGTGGAAGTGATCAAGGCCCACTTCTTACTCAGCTATGTCATGCACAATCAAACCAAATCATCACATCACATGGAAACCAGATGTTCATTAAGTTTATGAGTGGTGCTTCGAGTGATGCTTCAATAAAAAGAAATGGATTCAGTGCTACATACAGGGCAATACCTGGAGGTAACAAAATGTATATATATATGTATACCTCAGTTATTCTCTGCATTTTTCTATGGGTTGTCTTCAGACATCAAAGAGTTTTTCTTTGATTTGAAATAATGTGTGGTCAAATATTTGCTTAAAATAGATCTTTTGTTAATTTGGCTTAGAACGATGATAATGGGCCTACATAGAAACACATTTTATTACTGTGAAATGGTCTATATCATGTTGACTTTTATAGTATAAATTATTTTCATTAGAAAGCTGATCTAAAAAAAACTCTTAAAGTATCAAATTACTGGAAATGAGAATATTGTAATTCATATAAAAATCTTTTACATATTCCTTAAACTCGCCTTCAAATATAAAGAGCATAATTAAATTTAACTATAAGAGAGGGTTATTTTAAACCAAGACAAACCATGTAAGATGACTTGATATGATTCTTCTTAAATTAATAAAACAATGTATTTCAGGATGTGGTGGAAATTTCTCTGCTATGACAGCTACAATAATGTCTAAAAACTACCCACAAAATTATGACAGCAATTCAACATGTCACTGGAGGATAACTGTTGGAGAAGGACATAATGTTGTTCTTACATTTACAGACTTTGCTCTTGGGAATTGCCCCAATGACTATGTAGAAGTAAGTGATTACAAAATTTTTTACTTTAATAATATCATTTGTACAAAAACTTTTTAGTTTTTTTACAGGAAAAACAATGGGTTATTCACTTCTTTTTGTACAGTTAAATCCTTTAATTTCTAATTGTCGAAAACTAAAATTAAACCAATTTGTATCAGCGTAATGTGATTTGTTTACTGAACATTTATTTTATACTAATTTTATAGCCAGACCTGAAATAAAAACAGTATGAAAAATTTTGGGATAGTTGCCTGAAGTAATAAAAATAAAATCTAGCTACTTATTATGCCTACCATCTAACATTTTAAAAAGAAACAATTTGTATTTACTAAGTTGTACAAATGCAATGACAAATTATAAACTAAACGAGTTATATTCCATGTTATTTAATATTAAATGTATACAACATCTGCATGCCTGCTAAACATTTTAAAACTAATATTAATAAATTAAACTTATTGTAGAAATTCTCAATATGAAAAGCAAAATATATTATTTTCAAATATTTTAGTTCAATTGATTTCTATTTTAAAATCATAGTTGTTCTTAAAAAAAGTTATTTCTGAAGATTTTCATTGTTTTAATTTAAGAACAAAACTAAGTCATAGGATAGAATATTTTAAAATTCATATCAACCCATAATTGTTATCTTTTGTGTCAATAAGTATATCCTTTTATACTACAATAGCTTTAGTTTTACTATTCTATCATGTAACTTATAATTGGAGTTCATTTCCAAATATTATAACATAATTTGTGTAATTGGTAATTTGCATTAATATTACCTGTATCTTCTTTAGAAACACAAAGATTTGACTCTTATTTTTAGCATCATGAATTACACTTTTACTTAAAAATAATATATATGTATATACATATAGATCTATATATATAGTGTGCCTTATCTGGTTAGTGCCCCTGGTCATCCATGGGCCCTCTGCTGATCTGTTATTAACAGGCTTTCACCCATGCAGCCAGCATTAACAATGTTTCAAGGCTGACTGAAAAGTTCAAAATCTGTCAAAGGTGCTAAGCCACTGAATGCATTGTAGACGGTCACGTATATGTATCTAACAAAATAATATGTAGGCCTATATCAAAGTAAATCATTTCAATATTATTAATAACAGAATTTTAAGATGCTGGTTGTACATTATAGCAGCTCGCTTATTATATTACAAATTAAACACTCATCATTTGTCATTGTGGTGTGTTCATGCACTGTGGATACAAGGTAATCCTTTTGCAGGCAAGCATTGTCATTGTGAGTTTGCATTAATGCTACTGAAAACTTCCTATATGGAAATGAGATATATCTCATCATCTTTTGTAGATCTTTGATGTAATTGATTCAAATGAGGTCTCCCTTGGAAGGCTTTGTGACAATCAACTACCAAACCAGACAGAGTACAGATCAACTGGAAATCAAATGTCCATTCGCATGTTGTCATTACAAGGCGTTAAGAATAAAGGCTTTAAAGCTGAATACAAAACAGGTATTAGATTCTGTTCATTAAATTCTTTATTGTTGATCCTGAGCAACTGTTATCAGCTACAGTAACCTCATACAGACCACAAAGAGGAATTCTCAATGAAGATAGCTTTGAAGGACAATATAATAACTCAGACATCAGCACAGGGTGATGACACAAGGAATATAATTTTCCACTTAAACAGATATGACATGACTCGCTATTTCATAGACAAGACTTCAGTCTAGACACACGCTCATAGCATACATTCACACAGGCACGACTTCATTGACATAGAACACTACCTACTACCTTTCATGAACAAGACAACAATGACTATCCTTGTGCATTCTTTTCAATAACCTAACATATAACTTCACATATTTGCCCTACCTCATCGCACCACTAAAAAAATTCTTCCAATACACAAAATCTTAATACATGTACTCACTAGTTCAAAATTAATGTTCTTCTTTTGATTCCCATCAACTTATAATACTGAAAAGTGAATTTATACCTTATTAAAATAAACCGGGAGTGATCTCCCCTAAACTTTCTCGAATATTCATAATAATATATAACACTATGGGGGATGGAAACTAGGGATATAGACATGATTTTTAACTTTTTAAAATAGAATAGAATCGCGTAGAAAAAAGAATTGCGCACTAAGTGAATGCCAAACAAAATGCGAATAATAGTGCTGAATATTATTAGTACTTTTTATAAATTCACATGCGTTTTTTGAGAAATAGAATATAGCGTAAATTACTAGATCTACTTCCAGTCAACGGAAATTACTCAAAATTTGACAAAAGGTAGATAATTTGATCTTTTACTTTAAATATGAAATTTCATTTATGTATCTGAAAGAGTACTCAAGTTATAGGCTTTTGAAAAATTCAAAGTAGAAAAAGTTCCACTTCCGGTTATTGGAAATCGCTCAAAAGTTGATACGCATCTACAAATTTGATATAATACTTATATATGAAATTGCATCAATTTAGCTGTAACGGTACTCAAGTTATCGTGTTTACACACACACACACACACACACATACACATACGGACAAGATTGCAAAGTTTTTCCGACTCAGGGAGGTGTAAAAATCTCGATTTAAAAAAACAAGTTAATAAAAAGTCTAGTGACAATTTAAGCGCAATTTCCTTAATTAATTTTTTAGAATTCACAGACCTACGTAAAAATCCTTTCGAACCTCCGCTCATTCGCTATGGTAAAATCCTTTCGAACCTCAGCACTTTGCGCTAAAAACCTACATGATGCTCAGTTTAAATTTAAAAAAAATTCTTTTGAACCTCCGCTCATTCGCTATGGTAAAATTCTTTCGAACCTCAGCTTTGCGCTAAAAACCTACACGATGCTCAGTTTAAATGTTCTTAATTAATTTTTTGTGACCGAACGAAAGGATATTTTTGAAAACTTTCTTCGGCAATATTGGTCTAAATTATGGCAGGAATCAATTGGTAAATGTTTTAAGTCGCTAAGTGGTCTGGTTGCCGAAATATGGAACAAAAACTGCATTTGTTTGAGGTATTTTGGCTTTTCCGGGAAATCCAGGAAGGAATTCCGGGAATTTTTTTGGCCCACAATCATCCTTGGAACTTGCTTAACATATTTTCTTTTGGAACTAGTCCTCGATATTGCTTCGTTGAGGAGGAGATACGACTTAAAGCTGTGGACATACATCCATACATCCACACATCCATCCAGAAATGACGCATTATTAAACGCAATTTTCTTTTTTTTTTAAATTGCGCTAAAAATGTGAACGATTACAAGACTTTCTCTACACTTCGAGTATACGAGAAAGTAATAAAAGCGTTTGCTAAATTACTATTATACTACTAGTAATAATTTCTTTGGTTATTTCTAGCTTTAATGAAACCGGAAGTAATTTTGTATTTATTAAAATAATGTTTTTAAATATATTCAATTTTGGTTGAAAATATGCTTTCAGGCAACAAAAATTTGGAACCATTAGGAACCAGCTTTTCATGCCTGTTGATTTTCTTAGAAAACATTTTTTTTTTCCATTTCATAAATTTCAAGTTTAAAAGCTTAAAATTGCGCGTACCTCCAAGAAGACTAAAAAGTGATTTTAAAAAAAAAAGTAGGCTAGTTTATACTAGATATATTTTCTTATAAAATATATCAAGTATAAACTAGCCTACTGAGTGGTCTACACGATTTTCCTGTTATAAATTTCAGTGTGGTCTACACGATTGTACTCCTTATGTTTTGCCTTACTGGGCTCGTTTGAAGGTGAACTGTTCACAGGTCGGGTTGACCTTGCCGAGAAAAAACGTCACGCTTATACAAGATAGGCCTCAGGTAGAGGTTCGTACAAACTAGCAATGTCTAGTATGGATGTACGGATAAGCCACACGTTAAATTAAGAAGCTGAAGAGAAAACCATCGACGACGGTGAACTGTTCACATATACTGTTTATAAGAACGTCATGCTTACTCTAAATGCGCTGACCGCGAAGGAGACGCTGTAATCTCAGTTTTGAATAACTATTGCTATATTGCTTTTTTTTCAAATTCAAATCAATATTACGCATAATTGTAACAATTCCATCATTTGGAAAGTTTGGGGCGCTTTTTACGTCGCATTGCCTTTTATTTTTGGTGTCTCACAATTGATGTAGAAAACAATTAAATAAGTCCGTAATACTAAGAAGCAGTCTATAATTCTTTATTTCGACTATGTATAATTCAGTAATGAGCTTTTTTATCTACCACGTTTGGCGCTCCCTTTGGGTTGGTGCCTATAGCGGCCGCCACATCGGCCCTTCCCTAGCCACGCCTCAGTTAATATAATAATATAATTATTGTATATTGTGGTTTGTCGTGTTTTTAGTTATTTGTTGTATAGTGTACCTTTAATTTGTTGTGCTTTGCATGTTTTTATTTTTAGTGTTTGTTGTTTTATTTTGCTGTGTATTTTATGGTGTATGCTGTGTTTTGAACTAAGTTATGAGCGTTACGTTCTGTTCTTTTATCTCAATATACCTAGCTATAGCTTTAGCCCTCACTCCGCAATAGATTAATCTGGAGACGTCTGTGTAATTAGCCTGTACACAATTCCTTTTCTTTAAGTATCTGAAGTTAATCTTTAAAAACAAACATTTTCTTTCACCGATTCGTGCTATGTATCAGAGCTGGCAAAGGTCCCAAGACTTTCGATTGTCTATAGCTGCGTGAAATGTTTTTGTTTCAAATTAATACACCTGTCCTAAGTTAGGTCATTAAGTGTAACAAATTAATTCTATTTGGTCACACAATGGCAAATAAACAGAGCGAGAAATATATTAGCCGAGGTTGTGACCAGATTTGGTCGGTGTTGTGAAAAAAACAAAAAACTTCTTTTGGCATGTGCTATATTTAGACTCTCGATCTAAATCAGACTTTATCTGCTCTTCTACATATTCCTGCAGATCTATCTATTATTTAAAGTAAAAAAAAAAAGTTAACACAGCCACATTTTGTTATTAAATATAACGCATTTCTATTCATTTTATAAATCTATGTATTAGTAAACCGGGAGTGATCTCCCCTAAACTTTCTCGAATATTCTTATATAAAACAACAGGGGATAGGAACTCCATTTTAAATACTTTAAGTTTTTAAAATAGAATAAAATCTCGTAGAAAAAAGAATTGCACCTCAAGTGAACGCCAAATGAAATGTGCATAATAGTGCGCAATATTATTAGTACTTATAAATTTAAATGCGTTTTTGAGAAATCGGAAATAGCGTAAATTAGTACTTCCGGTCAACGGAAATTACTCAAAATTTAACAGAAGGTAGAGAATAATTAGATCTTTTACTTACATGTGAAATGTCATTTATCTATCTGAAATAGTACTCAAGTTATAGGCTTTTGAAAAATTCAAAGTAGAAAAAGTACCACTTACGGTTATCGGAAATCGCTCAAAAGTTGATACGGATCTACGATTTTGTTAAAATACTTATATATGAAATTTCATCAACCTAGCTGAAACGGTACTCAAGTTAACGTGTTTACACACACACACACAGACATACGGACAAGATTTCAAAATTATGTTTTTCCGTATCAGTGCGGTGTAAATCGTCGAGATTTGTAAAAATCTCGATTTTTTTTGCACGATTACAAGACTTTCTCTATTCTTCGTGTATACAAATAAAACGGGAGTGATCTCCCCTAAACTTTCTCGAATATTCTTATATAAAACAACAGGGGATGGGAACTCGGGATATAGTTATGATTTTTAATCCATTTTAAATACATACACTTTTTAAAATAAAATAGAATCTCATAGAAAAAAGTATTGCACACCAAGCGAACGCCGAATAAAGATGTTCATAATGGTGCGCAATATTATTAGTTCTTTATAAATTTAGATGCGTTTTTGAGAAATCGTAAATAGCGTAAATTAGTACTTCCCGTCAACGGAAATTACTCAAAATTTAACAGAAGGTAGAGAATAATTAGATCTTTTACTTACATGTGAAATTTCATTTATCTATCTGAAATAGTACTCAAATTATAGGCTTTTGAAAAATTCAAAGTAGAAAAAGTACCACTTCCGGTTATCGGAAATCGCTCAAAAGTTGATACGGATCCACGATTTTGATAAAATACTTATATATGAAATTTCATCAACCAAACTGTAATGGTACTCAAGTTATCGTGTTTACACACGGACAGACAGACAGACACACAGACAGACACACAGACATACGGACAAGATTGCAAAATTATGTTTTTCCGTATCAGTGAGGTGTAAAACGTCGAGATTTGTAAAAATCTCGATTTTTTTTTTGCACGATTACAATACTTTCTCTATACTTCGTATATACGAGAAAGTAAAAAAGCCATATTTCCTGTAAATAGCTAATACTGTTTTTTATTTCTTTAAAATGTGTACCTGTTAGTTTTTTCTTTCCCAAAATTTTGTGAAAATAGTTATATTGTATCTGCTTTACTACTAATAAATTATTTTTTTTACGTTAATAACACTAATTTTTAGGTTGATAACACTAATCAATTATGAACACCCAGACCTTAGTTTTATTTGTTCAGCCTTCTGTTAAATATTCCATTGTAAACTATTTTTTTAAATATCTATAATTGGTTATGTAACAATAATTTTAGGCTGTGGTGGTACTTTGAATGCAGACTTGGGAGGATCAATACAATCTCTCTTCTATCCGAATCAGTATCCTTACAATACAACTTGCATCTGGATTATCAGGACTCACACACTTGGTAAGTTTTGAAGATGCATTTTTCAGAAGACTTTTTTGTCAAAACTGACTTGTGGATCCTTCTCTCATCATCAATAAAATAAATATGAAAATCCTTTATAATAATGTAACGCTCAGTCAGTGGGAATAGTTTTACCCACTGAGGTGTTGTGGTTAAGACGGGCTGACCCTGAGATTTAGGACACACTGACACCGATAGTTGTTGTCAAGTACTGGCTTTATTCACTACATCGAGCCATGACGGCGACGCAGCACAACAGTAGTATGACTATTACAGATGAATACCAAAAGAACAGAAAAACCAAAAAGAAAACAGAAGAAAACTGTAAACCCTAAAACAAATGTAAAGAAAAAGTTACATTAATGATAACACCACGTGAAGGCTACAAACATACACGGGTACAATAAAATATGTTGCGGCCAATACACAGTACTGCCAACAAGTACCAATAAGTAGTACAACAATAAATACGTAAATAAATACTCAACCTAACTAGTGTGCACATGCAGCACTAGCAGTAATACACAAATAAGTATTCTAACAATAAACATAATTTATATACCCACACTACCTTCATTAGGTCTATATCTTGGTACCGTCACCGTGTCCACAGACAGCAGCCTTGCGGTAGCCACGAAACTACCCACAGTCCCATGTCACATGACACAGTCCCATGTCACACAGGTAAAATCGCCCACAAGAGCATGCAACACAACTACATCAACAGGGCTACGGCCCCACAGGGGCCGCAACTCAATGAATTAAAACTTTATTTGTTATCCCCCCTTGGCTGGTAACCATATGTGTTACACAGCCCCCCTAACAAATAAATGTAAAATGGAATTTACATTTACAGCTCATAAATAATTGTACTTAAAAAAAATTCAGTACAGTAGTTCACAGACATTAAGTCCCATCAACTCAAATATATTATTCCCGGCAAACCGGTAGAGGCTCCAGTGCTGGTACTGGTCGCTACTTGATGCGCCAGGTTGAGTCGCTCTACGGGTCGTCGTTGACGGGTTGCCCTCCGCAACTCCGCTGGTGGTTCTGGGTTGATCAAAGAGTCATCCTCGTCCGATGCTTCGTCCCTCGCATTGACCTCGTCCAGATATGGGGCTGGCCTGACCATCACCTTTTCTTGTCCGTCCCGGGCGACCACCTCTGGCACGAAAGTCGCTGCATATGGTCGGAGTCTGGTTGGGACCACCTTGATTGCCAGTTCCTCCTCTTCATCTGTCTCACTGGTTGGGATGATCTCTCCCCCTCAGCCACAGTCGTTTCTGAACTCGACATTGTATAGTCGGGTCGCTGCCAACCACGGCGGCGCCAACCCCGTCGTCGGCCTCTCCTCCGGCGTCGTCTCCGACCTCTGTTTGTGTCATGTCTGTCTCCCAAGCGACAATCTTGCTCGCGCTGAGACTGACATTCATGGTGTGGCCGTCTACCCTCCTCACGCGCACCCTCCGGCTGCAACCCTCCTCCACGGCGGAACACCCGACAGTCGTACTTCCTGCCGCTAGGCGAGGTAACCTGAGCTATGGTTGCTCGACACTGTGCTGATCTCGGTGGCCTAAACTTGGGCTGGGAGCTTGGCAGACCAAGCATCAGCATCCGCTCCCCGACGCTGATGGTGTGGCGTTTCCCTGCTGTTGACCCCGTTGCCTAGCTGCTTTCCTTGGACAGTCGCGGACGAATTGCTCTCTGGACCCACACCCGTAACAAGCTCCTCTGGAGGGCCGTTGTTTCCGGGCTAGGATATCTGCCACCTTCTCCTCCAGACGGTCGAGTTGTTCCTCCGTGAGCATCAGCGGCGTCGTCTCTTGGCGAACAGCTGCCGTTACTGCGTCGACCTGGATAGTCCTGTTAGCTGCTGCCGTGGCTACGACTGGGGACTCAGTTGTCCCGCCCAGTCTTTTAACAGCTTTCAGGACGTCCTCCACCTTCGGGCTGGCTTCCCCTGCGAAACCAAATGTGCCGCGAAGTTCGAGCTCCAGAAGAGGTGAAACCCCCTTGCAGAAGGTGTGATACACCTTCTTCTGGGCGTCGGCCGCAGTAAAAACACGCTGCTGGTTTAGCCTCGTCATCTCTGACCACAGTTGGCAGAGAAATTCCGACGCTGACTCTCTTGGATGTGGAGTGAGTTGGCTGAACTGCAGATACCTGTAGTCTGCACATCGGGTGTCGCCGAAAGTGCTTTGCAGGAGGCTTAGCACTTGCTCTGGACTCGCAGCCTGCTTTACCTGCTCATAGGCAATCCCTCTCAGGCTGCCAAAGATGCGTGGCAACGGGTTCGGAACGCTGGTGTTCCGCAGCGAACATTGCACTTGGGTTTCCTAGTCCGGGAAACTCACCTCCCCTCCTCCAGTGGGTGGAAGGCTGGTGAACACGCTCAGTTTGCTGTGTGCACACACCTCCACCGTCACGGGCCGCTGCGCGCTTGCCTATAGCTCCGCCATCCTAGTCGTCAACTCGGCCAGCTCCTGCGACAACTTCTCGAACGTTGGATCGCTGTTCGCCATGCCTATCTCTCCAGGTCAAGCCCCACGTTGGGCGCCAAATGTAACCCTCACTCAGTGGGGATGCTTTTACCCACGGAGGTGTTGTGGTTAAGACGGGCTGACTCTGAGATTTAGGACACACTGACACCGACAGTTGTTGTCAAGTTGTCAAGTACTGGCTATATTCACTACATCGAGCCATGACGGCGATGCAGCACAACAGTAGTACGACCCCTTGGCTGGTAACCATATGTGTTACAATAAGATGCTTTTAAATGCACCAAAAAATAAGAAAATAAAACAAACTTGCTCTGGTGGCTTATGGGATTTAGTACATATTTTAGCGACCAATGTTTGCTTTAAAGAAATCATCTAATACGCACATGTCGAGTTGAAAATTTGATAATTCACCCCGTTTGCCGGAAAGACGTCTATTAACTGTTAAGTATTTATCCATTACATGTTAAACATAATAAGTCTAATCAACTCTTATTATAAGTTGCAGACATAAGCTGCCATCAGCCTTTCACTTTCATGTCCTAATGTATTTTGTGTGTATGTATTCTGACAAAGTATCAACACTATTAGCCTACTATGACTACAGTTAGTCTATAGCATAGTAGTAACATTTATTAGGATATGGTATTAGTTTATCTGTATAGTATTAGGCCCTAGTTATGATTAAATTAGTAAGTATATAGGCCTATTAGGCCTATATAGTCTAGATCTAGGTCCAGGATAGATGTGCAATAACCTCTGAACAGTTACTTTTCTCTGTAAAATCTAGATTCTAGATCTAGCCCTATGTAGAATTGCTTAGATTTAGAGTATAGATCCTAAATTTTTAATGGTGATTTTTTAAATGGTCTGAATTTTTAAAACTATTTTTTTCTGAAGTCAGATCCATTGTCCTAACGAAATTTATTAAATCACACCAAGGAACATTTTTAAAGAAAAATATCGAAAAATGATTATTCATCATTTAACTTAATTTAAGACATCATCAAAGGTTACGGAAGCAATAAATCCAGAAAAAAAGCTTGCTGAAATCTGAGTAATCTGGTGTATAATGGTGTTTGAAACCTCATGTAATATGACAATTAGGAACAAAAAAGATGAAAATTATGTTGAGTTGATCTATATGTTGATAATCTTTCAGGGGAAACATTAAACTAACTTAAACAAATGATTGTAATATCTCCAAGTTTTTTTTATGTGCATTAATTATTAATAATGTAGTCGTAGGTTGCGTAAAAATTTAAAAAATCAACATTTTTAATTTTATTTTTTAGCTTCCAATGTTCATCTTTCATTTACCTACATGAATATACCTGATGTTGATGGTTGCCAGCAAAGTTATGTAACAGTTAATGATGGCACAGAACCACTTGAGCTTCATCCAAACCAACAACAAACAAGATATTGTGGAAACAACATCCCTGCACCTTATTATTCTCAAGATTTTGCCATCTATGTAGTGTTCAGGTCTGGTGCTTCTTATCGTACTGGCAATGGATTTAGGGCTGTATACTCATCATCACTTGCTTGTAAGTTATAATTATGTTTCTTTGACACTTCATTATTGTTTGTGTAAACTTACATAATCTATCAATGTTATATATTTATAAATAAATAAATTAAAAAAAAAAAAAAAAAAAAAAAATATATATATATATATATATATATATATATATATATATATATATATATATATATATATATATATATATATATATATATATATATATTTATATATGAAAGAATGTGTGCCTGTCTGTGGGTATTATATGCATTACTACACAATTCATCTGACCGCCATGAAACTTGGGGATGTTGTTGCGAATACTCCTGGGAATCATCAATCTTTTCCCTTTCATGCCCTAGATTCATAGGGCAGAAGAAGTAGAGTTAATCTTTCTCACTGACCTTGTCATAGGAATAGTGTGGTCAGCATTATGCCCGGCCACCTTTGTTTCCCTTAAGTGAGTAAGGTACTCATCAGGGACATCCTGCAACCATGAGTAGAAACAAAATCTTTTGAATTCTAAAGGAATTAACCAAGCTAAGATTGTTTTAAAAAAAAATCAACATGTTTGTTTCCCTTGGACCATAAATGTTTCTGGCAACTAAATATAATATTGGCTACAATCTGATCCAGAGGTAGGTTTTTTTTTTCTGATATTTTTTTCAAGGGTGGGTAGGATGCTGGTTACAATTAATATTTTCTGTATAAATTATAAACTGTAATAGTTCGTTTGAAGGCCAGAAGCCTTTGAGTGACCCGAGTTTCCTCCTGGCTACCAAAGTACCTGGGGTCCACTCGGGTGTCCTGTCATTATGTGACCCAGAGAATTCTGGGCTCACCATGAGTACTACATGTTTTAAAGAGTGCCTTACATGAGGTAATTAGTTGGCTACTACAATCTATTACTGAACCAAAACAGGGCGGCGCCTGGGGCACTTTTGGTAGTTTGACTGGTGTCATCCACTGGCGCCCTGATACCTGGCCGGTCGATGTTTTTTTTTTTTGGGTGCAATATGTATCAGTTATTAAAACTACCATTGCATTAGGACAGAAAATAAAGTCACACATCTAAAAATACACCATTGGATACAGTTGATTGTTATCATAACAAGTGTCCTTGCTTTTATATTTCTTCTGAGATCTCAGTATTGTGCGACGGGTAAGCTAGTTGAAAATATATTGTTTTCCTCTCATTTTATACTAAGTTCAATACTCAGGGTATATCAGGGTACTTTTTTAATACATTTTTATGTTCGGATAGTCAATTTATTAGGAGGCATAGTGGGTTCAAAAGGTTAAAGGATATATTGTTTAAGTGACCAAAAAAATGTGTATGAAAGAGGGTTTAGACTATTTTGCCAGGTGACTTTACTATGGTCACTGTAAAATAAAGGAGGTCAAGCACTACCTTACTCTTAGTCCAAGATTCATGCTATAGATCAGGGGTCTCCAAACTTTTCAGCCCGAGGGCTGCATTAACCATCAAATATCAGTTCAAGGGCCATAATATAATTTATATAGAAATATATACACATTTAAAATGCCACCCACCCACCCCCCCCCCCCCAGAAGAAACACTGTCATGGGCCGACAACACACTCGATGTCCAAGTTTGTTCTCCTTGGGCAAACACAAAAAACCTACCCGCATTTTTTGAACTTGTCCCTAAGGAAGTCATTAACTTGCAATTCAATGATCTCCATCTGCAGTACACATGGGCAACTGGTTACATTTGCTTCAAATGGGTTTGAAACAGTTTCTCTTCTTTTGCCTTTGAATCCTAGTCAGAAAACTGCAACTGAAACTGCAGCTGGTAGTCTGTGATGATCTCGCATGCAAATGATGTGGGGAACTCAGTGGTTGCTTCAACCATGAAGACCTTGCACGGCTGAAAATGCATCAAGTTGTTGCCCTGTACTTGTTCCAAAAACATGGAACAACTGTCTAGGGACTCATCCATTGCAATTGAAAAATTGCGAAATTTGTTAGCAGTTTTCAATATTTGAGTCACAATGTTTTCATCAATGTCTGCAACACGGAGGGCAATGGTATTTGCACTCAAAGCTATATTATCAAATTGTTTTACATTTTCTGAGAAAAGTTCCTCAGCCACCTCTAACAAACATTTTTTTCTGTGAACAAAAAGACCTTCGCGGGCCGCATCCGGCCCGCGGGCCGTAGTTTGGAGACCCCTGCTATAGATCACTGCTTAAACTTGTTATATAAAAGTAAGTAAAGTTCCCTTTCAAACCTGATGGTTCACTTGTTTATGTGACCTCGGCATATGAAGAGATAGGGAGGTCAGCGCTGCAACCAGCCATATATATATATATAAAAGGATTATGTTTAAAATATGTATTATGATTTGAGATTTGGAATGAACTTTTTCATACAGCTTGTGGAAGTGATGAGATAACGGCATACTCTGGACACTTTCAAACACCTAATTACCCATTCAATTATCCTAACAATATTGAATGTCAGTGGGTATTCAAAACATCACCGGGAAATTCATTGACGTTATTTTTTGAGTAAGTATTTGGAAAAGTATATGTTGTTCATCTGACTCATCAATAATGAACCATTTTAAACATTTTAAATTGTTTTAGAGAGAGAGAAAAGAATTAAGTACAGAAGTAAAATGCAATATAAACTGTCTGAAGTAAGAGATTTTGGAAGAATTGATGGTAGCCATCTTTTTAGATTATCATTAAAGCTATAAAAGTAATGAGATACAGCAATGTAGGGAATAGATTACAAATATGCCATCCGTTGCAAGTCCAGTAAATAAAAATGATGCATTGTTTTAATGGAATAAGGAAAAGGAAAAAAAAAGTGTTTAGAAGCCATAGGTCCTATTACAACTAGTTGACTTACATAACATTCATCTAAAAGAAATGATTTCTGTTTAACTATCATGAAGCACTGTTTATAATACTAATATATTTTCCTTAGTCACAAAAAGCTAGTAGAAGGGAAGGCAGTACAGTTGATTGCATTTTTGGCATACTAATTTTTTTTTCAGTGACTTTGAACTTAACGGAGGTTTCAATGATGACTATGTAGAAATACGAGCACCAGAAATAAGTAACTATATTGGCAGATGGTATGGGAACAATGGTCCTTACAACTTAAGCTCATCTTATGCTGGTGCTATTGTTATCTTTAGATCAAATGAAGCAAATACAGGGAAAGGCTTTACAGCTTTATGGAGTTCAAGTACGTAAATCATTATTGTTTTTTTTCTTCAGCTAATGATATTTCAACACACTTTTTTTTTGTGAGCCTGTTTTATGTATATATATATATATATATATATATATATATATATATATATATATATATATATATATATATATATATATATATATATATACACATATACATATATATATAAATAAATAAATAAATAAATAAATATATATATATATATATATATATATATATATATATATATATATATATATATATATATATATATATATATATAGACATACTAGCCATTCTTGCCAGGCCCTGTACTGTTATCTGAGAAAAACCAATCTGTAAAGGACAATGACTTGTGTGTTTACTAAGCAGCATATACCCGGCATGGACATTTGACAACACATAACTATCAACCTAACTCTAACTTTAAACTTAGCGCTAACCACAACCAACCAACACAAACACAAAGAAAACACAAAAGCTAACACAAACACAAATACAAATAGAAACACAAATATAAATGGAAATGCAAGCAATAACTCAGAAAATAATGCAAAATTAAACGTGAACATAAACAAACTTAAATGCAAACATAAATGCATAGTCAGGGGCGCCAAATTGCATCCTGCAGGGGCACCGGCAGACCTGCCTTATACAACTTAGTAAACAACTATAATACCACAAATTATCCATAGTCTATTACAAAATAGCACCCTGTCCATTTGAGCTTTATATTATATATGTTACGGTCCAAGCCCGAAGTCGGCCAAAGCATGCATTGACCGGTCAATGCGCCCATTGACCAATATTGCCTCCTATTGACCGACTGATTGCCACAGGAGGTACAGACTCTAAACTCAATGCAGTAATAAGTGTCTTTGTTAATAAGCATTGAATTTATGTTTAAATGTTTTTTAAAAGCTAATAACTTACACGCCAGAGATGCTTAAAAATGTTCTAAAAAATTTTTTAATGATTGCCTAAAAAAAAAACATCAGTGGTTATATTGAGTAAAGTATTATAAATATTTTTTGCCAAAATGTAATTTTACAATTCACTTTTTTCAGCTACCTCTAACTTTTTAACTGGTGATAATGGACAAATAGCATCCCCTAATTACCCATCTATTTATCCAGGAGGTTCTCATTATACGTAAGAAAATCAATACAAATTATATAATGTATGTTTAACAAATTATTTCTAATGTGTGAAGTTACACAGTGACCATTAGTTGCCTCACCATCATCACCTCTCAATGCCCATTGGCGCATAAGGCATCAAGAAGTGACATGCCTTTTTGAATGTTAGGCCACTTTCCTTCAACTGTTTCTCCATTGATCTTCTCCATTGTTCTTTTGGTCGCCCTCATTTTCTCTTACCCTGTGATGTCCTTCTGAGAGCAGCCCTGCCCAATGCATTTGCACTCATTCTTAGCACCTGGCCTAGTTATTTTCATCCCCTGTGTCTTGTAACTACATGATGATTATTAACTATCTATATTTTCCTGAAAAAAGTCAATGCTCATCAGGGCATACTAAACCCAAGTATTGATTTCAGTTTACACTGACAGACAGGTTAGGAATAATGATTATAAATATAAGAGGTAAAAATAATCTCTATGGTATCATTGCAATAAAAGTAAGTTACATAATAATATTCAAACTTTTTGTTGTCAGTTGGTCAATAACTACATCTGAACACCACTTCTTGCAAATAACATTTGTTGAGATTGTGCTACAAATGGATCCAAATTGTAATTTTGACTATGTAGAGGTATGTGTACTTTTAATTTTATTCCACTTGTTAATACCATATATAAAAATATTCTCAATGTAAAACATTAATAGGCTAGATCAGGGGTCTCCAAACTACTGCCCGCGGGCCGGATGCGGCCCGCAAAGTCCTCTCATCCGGCCCACGGAGATCTTTTTGTCCAAGGAAAAATCGTTTGTTGGTGATGGCTGAGGAACTTTGCTCAGAAAAATCAAAGACATGCCTGGAAGAAACTGGCCCCCGAACTGAAATTTGATAGTTAATGCGGCCCTCGGACTGAAAAGTTTGGAGACCCCTGGGCTAGATCTTTACCTCAAAATGGTAGTTTGGATTATTCTAATGCACGCTCATTCAAAATAAATTTTTAAAATTACTACCAACATAAAAATAAAAACAATTTGCAGTTTTTTTTAATGAATACCCCTTTAGTAAGAATATGACGTAAAATACTAAATTTTAAAATCTCTCTAGTGGATTTGCAAATTAAGGAAAATTCTAGAATACCACATACTCAAACTTCTGGTGTTTTTATTGTAACTTAATTTGACCTTTCCCAAGATTCAAATAACCAATAATTGTTTTTTAAATAAAATTTCTTACCTATTAATACTAGATTTTTGATGGAAGCCGAGATACTGGAACTTCCTTAGGAAAATGGTGTGGCACTAGCCTCCCACCATCTGTGCGCTCCACTGGCAATGTAATGACAGTGGTTTTTGTAACAGACGACCATGATAACTATAGAGGCTTTTTGTTAACTTGGAATTCCTTTTACTCTCCATGGTTCCCCATTGGTGAGTGAATGTAAATGTATTGGCACACCTTGGTGCTATTGTAAAGATGCAGAGTTTTCCACCTTTGTTCAACTATAGTATGTATTTTAAAAAGTGTCATCCTGCATAGCTACCCTCCTTATATTTTGCAGTAAACTACACCATTGTTTGAAAAGCTTATTCACCTTTTTACATGGTTGCAGTTTCGTAATACATCCCGAAACTGTTGTTGTAGGCATTTTGGCTGATAAAATTAATTGTAAATCAAATGAAGAAATTTATATTAATCATTTAAAGTCAGAAAAAATTCAATTTAAAAAAATTAACAAAACAGTTTTCAATTACAGAATGTGGAGGCACACTTACAGCCAACTGGACAAGTCAAGAACTATATAAACCTAATTTTCTTAATAATCATTATGATGCTATATGTAGATGGATAATTGTGGCACCTGAAGGATATTCTATAACCGCTAAAATAAACAGTTTAAATCTGTATGACGAAGGTTACATTCAATTCTACAATGGTTTGTACTGTTAAAATTACTCTGAAGTAAACATTGTAATCTTATAAGTTTTGAATTTTCGTAAGATGTTTTTCTAAACTCTATTCTTAAACATTCTCGTGGATCATTTAAACTAACCCATAGTATTATTACATTTCTGTCTTACATTAACTTCCTTGCATTTTACAAAGAAAAAGTTAAATGTAAATTGTCTTAAAGTTAAAGCATGTTTTCCATCTCTTTTCTTTGAGATCGGATTGTTAAATTTATTTTCCATTGTTCACCATTTTAAAAAATATAAATGTATTTGTATGAGGGGCTCATACAAAAATAAACCTGGACATAACCCCTAATCATGAGAATTCCATCTCACTTTGTCTTCTTTATGACAAAACCTCCTGGGATGGAAAACTTTTGCTTGAGGTTTAGAACATAACTTTGACAAGAACAATAATTATATTGAATCAAGGAGATGTATAACAAATGTCGATGCCTTTTGTTACTTTATGTGTGAAACTAACCACAGCTTTGCTTTGACATCTTTTCTAATTTTAACAAATGACTGAGTGATGATTTGTTGGGTTTATTCTTCAGTTTTTCTTAAAAAATTTTCATCTCTTGCACTACTTTACCCTCCCCCCTTCTCATTGAGATAAATCTGATTCATTACTCTGCTAAACATTCTGTCCATTATTCACATTATTTATTATTACCTCTACATTCTGTTATGTTTTGTCTTTTTACACACTTAAATGACACAATATCATGGTTTGCCAAATCTTTTAGATTTACTAAATATGTTATTAAAAATAACCTTTTAAATTGATGCTTTTTAATTGTGCAAACTCCAATCTACATATCAGATTAGACATGCTTTTGGAGACATGGGTTTTGTGTTATTTTTGAATTATGTAAATTTTTCACATCATTGGTATTTTTAAATTTGTTTATCTGATCTAACATTTGAATTTAATGGCTCCCAACTTAGGATATCATATATATAGTCATAGCTTTACTCTTTGATCAGTTGCTGTGTCAAACAAATACAAAAAAAAGACAAACTCCTTGACCACAGAGTATGATTTTATAGGTAGACATTAATTTATTGATAGTTCTCAATACATTGCGTAATTATTAAATACAAAATTTATACCTTTATAGTTGTTCTCATCGAAGCTAATTTTACTCCTCAGAGATTTTAGTCTAGGGTTTTTGCCACATGGGGAATAGAAAAGTGTGTTTATGTTATTGGTCTTTTTTCTTGGGCATCTTTATTTACCTATGGCAGTGTTAATTTTCTAATGTCAGGCTTAGCTTGGGATGCAGCTGATCAAATTTCTCAACCACTGTACCATCAAAATCATCCAGCATTTAATTCAAGTGCTAGTATCATGGGAGTGTTGTTTGAGGCATATTGGCTATACAGTAGCTCGGGATTCAACATTAGTTACACTCAGGGTAAGTCTATTTTCTTTAAATTATTTTAAAAACTGCACATTACAAAGTGTGTTTTTCCACACATTTTCCACAAAATGGCAAAGAACTAAGTATGTATGTCCTCAAAATGCTAAATGTTTATTTAATGTGATTAAAATAAATACGTCTACTTTTACCAATACTTTAGTGTGTGGATCTATAATGGAGCAAGTATCTGGTGGTACCATTACCAGCCCGTTTTATCCTGAAAACTTCACACCCAATCAAACCTGCATTTGGAAAATTTCTGTACGACCTGGACGAACAATTAGATTAACTTTTAACCAACAGTTTGACATTCCTGATACCAACCCATGTGCAAATCAATACTTAAAGGTAATCTTTTACAATGGAATATCTATTAAACAATGTCATTAAAATGTCATTAAATCTGAGCACAAATCATATATAAATATAATCATACAATAGTATCTTACATTTAACACTTTCATAATCATCTTATTAGTACCATCTTAAATTTTATTTGATTGATTTTTAAATTTCATTGCTTGGGATATTACAGTGTTTTAAATAAAAATGGTTAACATGACAATTTTTACAGCCATTTATAATAAACTAGTGTAGTTGTCTAGCTCATTAACGCGGACTCAGAAGAAAGGCTAGGGGGTCGGCGTGGTCGAGTCGGTTAAGCTCATGTTTGCTAAACCGAAAAGTCTCGAGTTCGAACTCTCGGGTAGATGAGGCCCGTTAGCTGGGGACAGCCACTCTTCTAGAAGAGACAACTTCAAAATCAAAGCCTTGTTGTAGTTTGTTCTTGGTTGGACAAAGGCTATGGGAGCAAATCCAAAAAGAAAAGCAGGCTGAAATCGGAGTCAATGGCCTCAATGACGCATAACCATGACACATATCCTTAATTATGATGGAGGCGTAGTCGAGTCGGCAAAAGCTCATGGTTGATGAATTCGAAAAAAATGTCTTGAGTTCAAACCCTCTGGCAGATAAGGCTCGATCACTTCCAACACTAAAAATTACGAACGAAGAAGAAGAAGAAGAAAGGCTGACGCAATATTTTAAGAGGATTTTTATCAATAGTACCAATAGTGTACATTTAGTCTTTTGAACTTTTTTATCTAAAACTTAGTTTTTTAAATGTAAACAATGACAGCACTAAATTCGATCATTGATGTTTGGGTGCGGTTTTGTTCACATTCCCGCCCAGACACCATTGGTCATGCTATATGAACACCTTCAGTGTACATTAATCAACCTTTATAACAGGCTCATTTATCAGTGGCGTCGCATGGCATTCTTAGGAACTTCTGGTTACACTACAACAGGGGCAATTGGTGCGTCCCCTGGTTTGGATTAGTCATCAAATGTAGTGGCCCACCATGTTCCGGGCCACCCAGCTGCCTGGGTGCAGGCGGACACAACTGGTTCAATTTAGGCAACAATTTTAGTAGCCCACAATATCCATGCAGTAATATACCTGTTGGGGTGCCGGAGGACGCGACTGTTTTGATTTAGTTAATTATCATTGTAGCCCACTGTGTCCTTAGTATATAGCCTTTTTAAAAATGAACATAGGTGCCATAGTGCTTACAGGAGAGCAAGGGTCCTCTGGGTCACTCAACCACTGGGGCAATGGCAGATGCGCCTGGTGCAGTTTTATCCTTGAATCAAGTAGTCCCTTTGACCACTAAGCAGGACGCTCAATCAACGGATACCAAGTTTATAGATAGATGCCAAACGGCATCAGAATTTTATTTCGTACCCTGCAGAAACCATCCTTGGTGTATTCTCATCAAGTAGTAATGAATACGTGATATAGACACACACATTCATTGGTATACGGACAAAAGGCTGACACGGACAAAAAGCCGACATGGACATAAGGCCGACATCCAAAAGGCCGACAAGACAAAAAGCCGACAAGACAAAAGGCTGATTGCTAAAAGGCCGACATCCAAAAGGCCGACAAGACAAAAGGTCGACAAGTTTTATAAAACAACAAACTACAATTACAGACATGTTTAATTTTTATTGCACTGAAGTAACTGTTTATTGCGTTGTAGGTGGGTTGAATATGACATATTTTTGTGTTTATAAAACATGTAGGGATACTTGTATTTTGTTTATTAATATCAAATGTGGTGTTTCTTTTTAACAAAAAACAAAAAATAACTTACCAATTTTGTCACACTTGTATCACAATCGCAACAGAATTAATGAATCCAACGAATATAGTATTACTTTTTTTTGCACGCTATTCGCCATGGACGAAACTACGATATAATTCAAAGTTTGTCGGTATTTAACATGTAGTCCAGTCAAGGCATGTGATCGTTCTCTTTCATTCGGTTTCTTTGATTTCTTTGCAAAATATGGTGGTGACACCACCCATTTGTTTATCCTTTGTATAATTACTCCCGCCATCTCCAGTTGTATGGACTCCATGTTCACCTTATAAGGATAGCAACTAGCATTGTCTCTTGGCGTTCCACCTTCTTGCATGTGGGCAATGATTCGACGGCTTTTGACTTGGTTCTTTGGTGGTTGTCTCACCTCGTTGACATAGAAGGAGCTATAAAAGACAGTAGTGACCGCATTTCGCAATATTTATGTGTTGATCCTTTGTGTTGACACTCCCGTAATCATCAATCGCTTGGACCCGATGGTTCACCTAATAAGGATAACAACTAGCATCGTCCCTTCTCTTGAACGTTTCACCTTATTTCGTGCCTTATTTCGATGGTTGTCAAGATAGGAGCTATGCAGTAACACATATTTTGTGATATTAGTATTTTTTATGCTTGTCGGCCTTCTGGTTTGTCTGTCTTATGGTCTGTCGGCCTTTTGGCTGTCGGCCTTATGTCATGTCGGCCATTTGTTCTGTCAGCCTTTTGGCTGTCGGCCTTTTGTCCGTGTCGGCCTTTTGTCTTGTCGGCCTTTTAGATATCGACCTTTTGTCAAACACCCCTTTCATTATGTAGATAATTTTAAATTAATTGCCAGGTGGTGTTTAAAACAAAACATCGCTTGCGAAAGATATATAAAATATAGAATTGTATAAAGCTGTGTTTTAATTATATTGAAAATTAACATTTAAAAATAAATGCAATTTTAAGTTTATTTATAATCTATTCATTATCTAGCACATCATTTTTTATTTAAACCTAACAAACAACTGGATAGAAAGGAAGAGTTTATGGAATTGTGTAAAATATAAAGGAATTTTTATAAACCTTAATTTAAACCTTAAAAATGTCTCTAAAATATTAAAAATTAACTTAAATTTCACATTAAAAAGATGTATTATATTTATAGTCTAATTTTTAAAATAATATAAATATGATTTATTCATTAAACTAAAAATAATGTTGTATCCACTTTAATTCTAACAAGTGGATACACAATTATATTTAGGGAGTTTAAAAATTATGAAACCTCATTTGATCTATTTATGTTGGTTTCAAACTTTAAAATGTTTCTAAAATATTTAAAAAACGACATACTAATTATAATGCGTAAATCATGCCAAGAAAGATTTTTTTATGCAATTGATGTCTGTATATTTTATTGTAGATTTTGAATGGATTGACACCTAGTTCTCCTCCACTTGGAACACAAAATGGAACTTACTGTGGAACAGTTGCACCACAAAGACTAGAGACATCTAGTAATTATTTGTTTGTCCAGTTTGTCTCCGGCTCCAGTGGTCTTGGATCTGGATTTTCTTTTACCGTCTCAGAAGTCAATTTGGACTGTAGTGACCACATCATAGTGTCACATTCTAGGCCATCAGGGTAGAAAAATCTTTTTAAAGTTATCTCACAAGTCTGCTTAATTTTTTTTTACAATGCTAATATTAACAAATAATGATTTTATTATTTTAGCAATTATTTTTTTTTAATTGAAGAATTCTTGAACCTCCAAGAAATAATGGAAGTACATATTATATGCCAAATCTTGACTGTAAATGGGTCATTACTGCACCAGCTGGAGAAAGAGTGAGATTGGATTTTGATGACAGATTTGAGATTCAAGCCAGAGAAGGGTAACAATATTACTTTTAATTAAGCCCTGGCATGTGGGTACCTAATTTAATCCCTAGGAATATAATTAAACTATGGGCATCAGTGCAAATCTGGCTGAACCCAGACTAGTTAATGCCTAACCTTAGTCTAAATTTAAAAAAAAAATAGATAATTAACTAATAATTAACTACTGATCATAAACTTTATTGCAAAAAAATAATAGAGTCAAATCCTTTAAAAGAACTACAAATATATTCACTACAATTAAATTATAGAAAACAGCACCTAGTCAAAACAGCTAATCAGCCATAACAATCAGAAAATATGAAAACAGATGAATGAAAAATCATAGGAAAAATTAAATGGGCGCAATCTTATTAATATTATAGAACAACATACTTTTCGGTAATCTATCGTTTTGGGTACGTAAAATCGCCCGCGGCTATTAATGTACGAAAACGTTACCTCATTGTCAAGGCTTTAATAGAAGTTTATTATCATATGTTTGTGTCAATTATTATAGATAAATGAATAATAAACCTAAATCAATGGCTAAATATATCAACATAGGCCAGAAAATGTAAGGAGTCACCTGTTTTTCATTTTACTAGTCGCGGGCGATTTTACGTACCCAAAACGATAGATTACCTAATTTTCAAAATTGTATCAAACATAACCAAATATCTACACTGTATAAAATACAACCAAATATCCAAAAGTGGGTGTGTCTCATACTCATAGTGTCAAAAATACTAAATACTCATAATAAATAACTAGATCTATTCGAAACTAGCAAAATTATGTAAACTTAACTGAATTGCCAGTGGCCTGGAAATGCAACACTGATCCAGAAAATTACATTAATAATTAGATTGGTACATGAAATATGTACAAAATAAAAATGGTCCACTTTATCACTTTACAAGAATTACAAAAACAACAATCCACTGTATGCCATGCTAGGTATGACACACAAAGTGACCCAATGCCTCGATCTGCCAATGCAGACTGGTCTGAATTTTGCAGGTTTCAACCACACAACACCCACTTACACCATACAAACAAATAATTCCTAAAATTTCAATACAAATACAAAATAATACTTATAATGATGCAATACTCACCAAAAAGCAATCCTTCTAAAAACATATAACATTTTAAATGATTAAACCACTCACATTTATAAAAACTGAAAAACTTATTTAACACAGGTTAATGTTTTAAATTAACTACTAAACCTATTTACAGTGCGTGCAACTCATACTTCATTGAATTACATGATGGTGGTACCATTTCTTCCCCTACCATTGGACAACGTATGTGTGGTACATCAAAACCAGGCACAATTTATTCAACAAACAATGTTCTTCTGGCCAGGTTTAGAACAGACCATCCAGTAAATAGCTGGGGATTTAAATTTAATTATTCTATTGGTAAGTTATTTGTTTTTCTTAAGACGCTGGTGCTCTTTGTGATTTTTACAGTTGGTAGTATGTAATTTTGAATTTGCCATTTTAAAAAAAAGTTAAACACATAAAAATATTATTACTGTCGTTTTTTAAAACTTGTAATGTAGTCTATGTTTTAATTAGCACAGTATATTAGAGATTTTAGGATCAGGCTGTATTTCCTATGTATATTTTCCTTACATAAACCAACTGGAAGATATTTGTCCATGGGTATTTTGCATGATCGCCACAACTTTGCATACATATATTATTTAATGCTAACTTCAAATTTAAAAACATAATGCTTAATTATGTCCCTAGCAACATGTGGAGGTACAATTATTGGAGCAAGTGGTACAATTACCAGTCCCAACTATCCTGGGAACTACAGGATAAATACAGAATGTGAATGGTCTATCATTGCTCCTGTGGGACACTATATCATCTTCAACATTACAAATTTTAACCTGCAGTCTTCAACCAATTGTACAGCTGATTTCCTTCACATCAATGATGGAAATGCAACAGACCCAAACATTTTTCACAGCTGTGGTTCAGTGTCTGGAGTACAAAGGGTGGAAACATCTGACAACACAGCTTACATCAAATTTAAATCTGATAGCAGCTCTACAGCTGCTGGGTTTAGGATTGTATTCCAAGCTAGTGTTGAAAGTAAGGGTTTTAGATTTTGCTTTTAGCTTGTAGAATCATTCAAACACTTAATTAGTTCTGATCTATTGTCCTATAATTAGCAGATTAATTTTCTTCTTCATCTTCATTCTTAATTGTAATATTATTATAGGGGAGTTCTTCCAATACTATTAAGTATTATGTTTTGTTTATGGCCTGTTGAATGTGACTTCAGCCTGACTTTCTTTATGGATTAACTTCCAAAGCCTTTGTTCACCCAAGAACAATCTGCAAGACAGCCATCGTTTGATTTTGCAGTTTTCTCGCCAAGAGGATACTGTTTCTGGGATCCGGACAAAAGGCCGACATGGACAAAAGGCAGACATGGACAAAAGGCTGACATGGACAAAAAGCCGACAAGACAAAAGGCAGACAAGACAAAAAGCCAACAAGACATGTCACATTAAATAAACATTTAGCATTTTGAGGACATACATACTTGGTTCTTTGCCATTTTGTGGAACAAGACAAAAAGCCGACTGATAAAAGGCCGACATCCATAAGGCAGACATCCAAGGAATAGCAACTAGCATTGTCTCTACACGATCCGATTTATTGCATGTGGGCGATGATGCGACAGCTTTTGACTTGGTTTTTTGATGATTGTCCCACCTCGTTGACATAGAAGGAGCTATAAAAGACAGTAGTTACTACATTTCTCACTATTTAGGTGTACCACATATTTTGCGACATTAGTATTTCTAATGCTTGTATGGTTTGTCTGCGTTATGGTCTGTCAGCCTTTTGACTGTCTGCCTTTTAGCTGTAGGCCTATTGTCCATGTTGGCCTTTTATCAGTGTTGGCCTTTTGTCTTATCGGCCTTTTGTCCTACACCCACTATCTCTGGGTAATAATAAGCCTCATCTACTCTGGGAACGAAGCTCTAGACTTCAGGAGAAAGCAACCATGAGCTCTCCCATCCGACTTTGTCACCCCACATATCAGATTAATTACATCAGATTATATTTTGCACACGGCTTTTAATTATGTAGTATTATTTTATGTTTAAAAAAGGCTACATGTTACCAGAAGTAAAGTTTTATGATGATAATTAAAATTTATTTCCGAAAACTTAATAGTGAGAGAGAATAAAAGATTCATGTGGAAAGAAGAAATAAAACCATAAGCAAATTGGGAGAGGTGGTTTGCCTTAACAATTGTGGTCTTTATTCATGCCCAAAAACACACAATCCTTTTCTCACCAAAAATTCTAAGCACTACTAAAAAAAGGTTTTTGTTATGCTTGTAATTTTAGGCTGGATATGTATTAGAAATAGCCTATAAACCATCTCTAAAAATATATTTGAGTAACACAAAATAAAAACTTGTGTATCAATAATATATTTTTCTTTTTAAACCATAGGCTGTGGTGGAACATTAACAGCACCAACTGGAGTTCTCACATCTCCCAATTACCCAGGTTTTTATGCTCACAACCGCAGATGTGTTTGGCAGATTGAGGTTGAAACTGGTAGAAAAGTTACCTTGACTTTTAATGATATGAAAATTAACAGTGGAAGGTGCCAAGATTATGTTATGGTATGGTTAAAAAAATATTAAAATTTATAGAAAATACTTTGTTGTTAAAAATATTGTATAAGCGCATTACAAGTGCAAGTAAACTACATTAATTTGTTTGCGATATTTATTCAATACAGGTGTTAAATGGAGTTTCTCCTTTAACAAAATATATTGGCAAAATATGTAATACTGATATTATACCTGATCCTGTAAGTTCTTCAATGAACAAAATGACTGTTATATTTTTTACCAATGGACATGGAACTAGTAATGGATTTAAAGCAACATATACATCAGATACAGAAGCAGGTGATCAATGTCAATTTTAATAGATGCATAAGCTTAGAATGTTTGCTGTTGATTAGCAATACTGATTTAATTTCACACTAAACTACATGTTTTTCTTGGATAACTGTAAGTTTCGGGGGGGGGGGGGGGTGATCCCGAAGTGACGTCACATGTGTTTGAACATTTTTATCTTTCCCCTCCCCACTGTCGCTTATTATCACAAAAACCCAGACTCCACATTTAAAAAGACGTCACATTTCAGACATGTTCACATCTTCCAAAAAACACCGATTTTAGCTGAGCATGGGTCTGACCACACTATCCCTTCATATGCTGAGGTCGCAGAAAGAAGTAAACCCTACTAAACCTGATCCGTGCCCCGCCAAGTCTCGAAAGGCAACTGAAAAGAAGTGACACCTTATCTTACAATACTTACAAGTTTTTGTCTTCTAAAAACGTTGATTCATTTCCAGAGGCGTAGCGACCCTTCCCGGGGACAAACTTTTCGATTTGCACCCCCTCAACCTTTCAATTTATTTCTCCAACCCATTTTGGTGCCCCCTAAGGTCGGCGCCCGGGGTCATATGTCCCCGCCCCCCCCCCCCCCCCCACCTCGCTACGCTACTGTTCATTTCTATAATATTTTCTCAGCTAGAACCGCATATGAATAATAAATGAGTAATTGATTAAAGCTACCGTCAAACTAATAATAATGAATTAGAACAAATCCCTTGTTTGTTTTTTTATTTGCACTCTACATTTTCTATGAGGGAAAATTAAAACATACAAATTTACAATTGAATTGATGTATTTCGAACCAGCGTCACCTACGTGGTGTTTATTACACTATCATCACAGCCAGCTAGGCACATATTATTGGGTAAAAATATATTAAAATATTTTACTTTAGCCAGTGTAAGAAAATTAAGCAAATATTGTTTAAATTAAATTTTATCCTAATTTAGCCAATTCAATTGCTAAAAAAACAAAGATTTATACAAAACAATTAAGGTCTGATATACTTAAGTAAAAAAGAAAGAATATTGTTTGTGTTATTAGCATAGATTATAATCTAGAACTAGAATCTAAATGGGATCTATGGACAGATGAAATATGGTTTGTCTAATTTATTAGTAGCTCTAGATAAATTCATTGTATTGTCGAATTAGATGATCTTTTAAGTTAACAAGCAAAGATTTATATCTAATATTTAAGGAATAAAATAGTTTAATAATTGATTGTGTTTTTATATATTTTTTTTTTCTTTTTAACTAGTTAATTTTGGCTTGGCCTTAAATCTAGTTTATTGATATAAGTGTCATTTGATTTTGATAAATTGCTCTTAGTTTCAAGTGACGTCACTATAGTTCAGGGTGAAAGATTTTAATTTTTGTAAAAATAAAGTATTTTAAATAAAAATTAAAATCGTGTTTAAATAAATGTGTGTATAACATTGGGAGGGGGGGGGGTCTGTATCTAAATATGTGTTTGACAGTTCTACACACAGTGTTAATGTTCTCTACAAACACAAAATACGAACATATGATACTCATTGCTGGCCTGTTCGGGTTATATATAATAATTTTTTTATCAATTATAACAGATTAAAACATTGTGTTAGGTGTGTAAGTGCATTAGTGTGTTTAGTGAAAATCAGTTTTATTTTATCTCTGCTATATGACCTCTTAATATTAGATGGTCAAAAGAATATAAACCATGAAAGCTTTGTATATAAGTATGGTGTCTGGTGTTATGTTTATTTTTATGTTTTTTTGTATTTATATTATTAATTTTAAATACATTTCCTTTATATTTTTTTATATACAATGTTATTCTTTAGAAAGTATTTTATAAAAAAAAATAACTAAGAGAAGTAATTGCTTTTTAATTTGTTTAGTGCAAATCTATTAAAAAGAGCTTATGAGCACGCTTATTTGACTATTCAAAAAAGGGGCATAAGTCATGGAAGTGGTTTGAACGTTTACTTATCTTTGATAAGTTTGATTGTAGGAGAAAGAGGACTCGGCTTTCACAGTGTTTTAAAACAAAGGGAAAAATATACAAGAGCGTGGGCCTGTGTCTATAGAATAAAGATAAACCGACCGCAGCTATGGTAATCTTTTTTACAAAACAACCATCAAGTCAAAAATGCAAGAAAATGTTTACAAATTTTAACTATAAAAAATTATTATGGTTGGCTGTGGGCCCCTAAATGGCGTGCCCCCCCCCCCCCCCCCCCGCATTGCGGGGTCTGGCGGCACTGTAGTTCCGCCCCTGCTTCTAACGGAACAGACAAAGAAAAACAAAATATTCAAACTTGTAAATAACCTGAATTTTCGTAGTGTATAGATAGTCACACTTACTCACTTAGACAAACATATTTGTGTGAGTATAAATATTTGAGCATGCATGTATGTAAATTACATTGACACAAATATATATATATATATACTTATATATTTATATACATATTATATATATATATAATATATATTATAATATAATTGTTTATTATATATATGTATATTTATTTATTTATTTATATGCAAAGATTGTTAATTCTCTCCTGCACATGATTATCAGACTGTGGTGGCTACCTCATTGATAGCACAGGGAGAATAACTTCCCCAGGATATAATGGCTACACTGCTACAGTTGCACGTAACCTAATTTGTGAATGGACTCTTCACAGCCACCAAAGCATTGGATCTATCAATATTAACTTGACAGTTAATTTATATGATAGTGGATGTTCTTTTACTTATTTGGAAATATATGAAGGCAAGAAACTTGCAATTTATTATAATAACATTTTATTTAGAATTAACTACCATGATGTGCATATTATATACATACATATATATATATATATATATATATATATATATATATATATATATATATATATATATATATATATATATGCCTATATATATGCCTATATAATTATATATATATATATGCCTATATATATATATACATATATATATATACATATATATATATACATATATATATATAGGTTTCTGTGTGAGTGTACTCCTAAGTTTAATAATTGTAATAGAGTACTTGCATAAATGTGACCTAAATCACGTGATACCTATATCAGCCGCCAGTAAACAATCAGCTGTTGTATCAAAGTATGCTCATCATATCTTAAGAGCCTCACACCCGCAGAACTGGAACAGTACATAAAAAACATTAACTTTTAGTAATTGAATATCCTTATATTTGTATTGACATAAAATGCACTAATATATAGATAATTTAAATCTAGATCTAGTTAGTATAAATTGTAGATTATCTAGTGATGAACAAGCTTTAGTAGCAATAGATCTAGTAGATCACAAATGTGTGACAACTTAACCCTACAAAACCCCCAATTAAACTGCTTATCTACTTCTGATGTAACAACCACTGCTGTTCTTTGATCTCAGCCATTCTGGGTAGCAAAGCATGTTACGTAATGTATGACCCTCATGGTCCAGTAGGGAAGTGATCAGACATATTCCCATGCTTCCCCCTCTTACCTTCATGATACCCAGCCCCCACCTGTTTCAAGCCCAACATAAAAATTAATCTCTTTGTGGGTAAAATGGATTGCTGCTGTTAGATCTTAGCCAACCAGGGATAGCATCTCTTTATGTAATTTATTACCCTCAGGGCCCAGCAGAGAGAACAAAGAGGAAATCAGTACCAATTATCTTTTAAATTTAACTAAACTCAGTCCAGTATCAGATACACATAGTAGGCAGACCTAAGTAATTTATTAAAGCCTTTTGCAGCAAAAATATCAACTACTTACTAGTATAAACTTTTAAAATTAAATCTAAGTAACAGATTCTAAATCTGTCTAGTGATACAATCTATTTCCATTTCAGATAATTTCGTTTGCTAAATAAAATAAATGATTACAATCTAGAGCTAGATATATTAGAGACAATTTCATTTTTTTTTATTATACGGCCTATTATTTAAACAGACTGTCTATTTGTACTTCACTACGAATAGCCTTCAGAGGGCTATTAGTATTAAAGTACAATTAGCTACGGAGGTTATCTGTACACTGCCCAATCAGATTAGCGGAAGGTATCTGTACACTGACCAATCAAACTAGTGTAAAATCCGACCCAGTGTAAGTGTAAGCCTTTCTACTCGTAATAATAGTCTAGAACTAGAACCACAAACTCGACAAGAAAGTTGATTTTGAATCTTTTTGATAGCTTCAAAGAGTTGGAACCTTCCATTAAAGCTTTGGATAGTAGCAAACAAATCAAACATTTCTTTAAATTTAACATAGATCTAGTAAAAAAAACATAGATCTAATAAAAAACAGAACAAATTAAATGGTACCATATCTATCAGATGCAAGAGACAAACAACATATCACTGGGAATAACATAAATATCACGGATTCTTGAATCGCTATCCGATAAGTAAAATAACATACGGTGGGCGGAAGACGATATTCTTGCCGAAATTTTAAGAGCTAAAAAAATTAGTATATTGTACAGAATATATCATTTTTTTATTGCTTGTTTCATAACAAGTCCTAATACTGCCATTTTCACCTACTAAACAAGGGTGTGGGGAAATTGCGAAAAGCGAAATGGCGAGGCGGGAAAATGCGAGAAGGTAATGCGAGACCTACCTGCGGAATTAAGGGTAAATAGCGAGACACTTTTTGCGAAAAAAGTTTTTTCCTTTTTTTTCCATCTTTATTTATTTAAATTTTTTTTTTAAATAAACAA